GGCAAAAGTAGGAGACCAGTCATGAGGCTATGACAATATTCCATATAGATCATGGCTGCTTGGACAAGGATGGTAGAAATAGTAGGGGCAATGAAAAATGGTCAAATTTTGAATATAATTTGAAGGTAAGATAAAGGGAATTTGAGGAATGTCAAGGCATGAGATATAAAAGATATAGAGGAGTCACAGGTAACTGAGATGGGAAAAACTGAAAGAAAATTTTTGAATACTATCAAGAGCTCAGTTTTAGGCCTCTTAGTTTTGAGAGGCTTATTACATAACATTGAGAAAATGTCAAGTAAGCACTTCAATATATGGACTGGGAGTTTAGAGACGAGGTTCAGGCTGAAGATATGATTTGGTAGTCATCAACGTATGGTTCTTAAAGCCATAAAACTGAATGACATGACCTGTCAAGTACAGGTAGGGCAAAAAGAGAAAGATTGAGCATGGGAAATTCCAACCTTTGGAAGTCAAGGAGATGAAGAGCAATCAGCAAAAGAAACAAAGAGAGTGATCAGAATGATAGGAGAAAAACTTGGCAAGTATGGTACTCGGTAAGCCAAACGAAGCAAGTTTGGTTTATTGGTTGTTTGTAGGATGTTGTTTGTTTCTAGAGCAGAGTAAACAACTGTGTTTAGTGAGCAATGCTTATAGATCAAGAAGGATAAGATCTAAGAAATGACCACTGGATTTAGCAGTGTGTAGAGGTCACTGATGACCTCAAGAAGGGCAATTTCAGAAAAACAATTGGGATACAAATCTGATTGGAACATTCTAAACAGAATATGGGAGAAGAAAATTGGAGACAATGAATATAAACCACCATTTCCAAGAGTTTTGCTATTAACAGAAAGAAATGAAATGGTAGTCAAAGAGGAAAGTGAAGAGAATTTTCAAAAATTATTTTGTTTGCTTTTGGTTTTTTAAACAAAAGGTAAATAATCATATTTGTATATACTGATGAGAAAGGCTCAGTAAAGTACATGAAAGGCAGATTTACTTCCCAAGAGAAAGGTTAGCTTAACCAAGACTCACAGATACAGTTAGGATTAATAGACACAGGAAACTTCTATTATTTGGTTCATTTTTTTTTCCCCAATGAGATTAAGAAGCAAGGTCACCATTTAAGAATAAAAGTGGGGGCTGGGCACGGTGGCTCACGCCCATAATCCCAGCACTTTGGGAGGCCAAGGTGGGCGGATCACGAGGTCACGAGATCGAGACCATCCTGGATAACACGGTGAAACCATGTATCTATTAATAAATAAATAATTAGCTGGGTGTGGTGGCGGGTGCCTGTACCCCCAGGTACTCAGGAGGCTGAGGCAGGAGAATGGAGTGAACCCGGGAGGCGGAGCTTGCAGTGAGCCGAGATCACACCACTGCACTCCAGCCTGGGCGACAGAGCAAGACTCCGTCTCAAAAAAAAAAAAAAAAAAAAGGAAGGATTCAAGGTGACAGGAAATAGGAGAAAGCATGGAGTCAAAGATTTACTGGAGTAAAGCAGGAGAGAAAGTGAGCTTGAACAGTAGGAGAAGTGGTGCGTTTTGGAAATCAAGGGAAGATAGTGTCTCAACGAAGAAGTGGTCAGGTATGCCAAGCATTGCTGAAAAGCTAAAATGAGAACTGAAAAAGGCCTACTGGATTTAGTAACTGGGAGGTAACTAGTGACCCTAACAAGAACTACCCTGTGGACTGATGGGATCAGAAGTCAGGTAGGAGCACACTTTGGAGTGCATGGGAAACGAAGAAATAAGAATAATTATGTCTGTCTCTTTAGAAGCTTGGCTGTGGAGGGTGAGGGGAATGCCTCTGGCAAGAAGCCAGGACAAATACTGGGATCAACCCTTCTCCCTACTGTGGTTCCCCAAAGCATGCCAGAGATAGGACCCTATCTTCATGTGGATAGGGTATTCCTGTCTTCATGTGGAAAAATAGGGAGTTTTCTTGTCTTCATGTGGAAAAACAGGGAGTTTGGGGGTAAAAAGTAAGATGTAATAGGGAAGTACAAATAGCCACGTGGTCAAGTGAGGAAAATTAGGGACACAAACCAAAGGAAGTAAAAAAGGTATTTCTGTCTGAGAAGGTACTCAGTGGCATGGAGGAAGATGAAGATGAAAATGAATCCAAGAAAACCACCACATTAGAGGGGATCTCCATCAACACACAGAACCCCTGAGAGTAAGAATGAGATAAAGAACCAACAATTGCTCAGTGAAGTCAGACATTCCCAAGTTCCAGTACTTTTCCCTCCTCCCATTCCCCAACACAGAAAATTAAGACCGAAAATGAGTTAAAATCACAGTTCTCTAACTGTGCTAAGGTGCCCCAGCTACCCTCGCCACCTTATAGAGGTACTATGGGATATTTTAAATATTTGAGGGAAACATAGCAATACTCACTGTTTACCACACACTACCTGAACTACCAGCTTGCGATGTTTCTCAATTTGAATATTAGATACTGTTTAATTCCTTTTAATAATGTCATGTCTTTGAAAAGCTGGGTTTTCGGCTGCTGCTCTCATATAAAACATTTGGGAGGCCGAGGTAGGCAGATCATGAGACCATCCTGGCTAACACGGTGGTTTTCTTGGAAAACCGGAGTAGAATAGGAAATAAGGTGGCATCAAGGGGTGCTAGAAAAAACTGCTGCGACAATAAAGGCACCAATAACTGAAAAAGTTTGGGAACTTCTGGGCTAAAGAGAAGGGAATGAGAAAGGTGCTTCTCAGATACGACCACACACACCTACACTCAGACACAGAAAAGATGAAAGTGTACTACATATTCCTGCAATCCTTTAGGTCAACCCTGATATGAGGGGAGCGTAAGAGGAGACACCTTAATGGAGTTTGAACTTGACATCTCAAACCAACTGTACTGATAGCAACTGAAAGTGACTAGAAAATTATGACCTCTACCTGACATATTGTCATGGAAAGGATAAGGTAGATTTCATTTAGTACAACTAAAAGCAACTAAGTGGAGAGAAAATAAAATTCTGTCATGTAACTATTCCACTCAGTCATGATACCTGAATTACAGTAGATAATGACCATTAAACTCTGATAGCCCCTGTAGTAATTCCAAACTGTAGGAGATAGTGGTAAATATAAAAGTGAATTCTTTCATGCATTCATTTATTGAATAGATATTTACAGAATGTGCACTATGTGTGGAACATTTTACTAAACATAAGAGTTACAGGGAGGATGTGAGGGTGATTTTGCTGTGGTACCTGTCACCAACTAATCCCAATAGTTGATTTGGCTTATCTGGCTAACTAGCTGGGTTCCCCTTCCTTCCTAACTGCCCCATATATGTCTCTTCCAAAGCTGCACACTCTGCTGAGGAGGATGACTTTCCCCCATAGAGGAGGATGATTCTTCCGTAAGGGCATACGCGTAGCAGTGTTCCCTTGCTAGAAGCTCCAAACAAGTCCTCAAAGCACACACACAAAAAGTCGGTGAAGGACAGTGTTTAAAACAGCATGACCACTCCAATCAGTTTATATCACTACCCTATTTTTTCCAAAGCATTTATTATTCTCTGAAAGAACTTTATTTACATGTTTATTCTGTTTTAATTTTAGAAAGTAAGCATTGAGAGGGCAGGAATTGTCTTGTTCTTCCTCGCCTCAACTTCTCAACATCTGCATGTCCCATGACGCTATTCTGGGCACTATTCTATCTATACCCTTTGTCATTCTTCGGATATAAATAGGTTGATGCCATACCTAGTGGTGACCTTTCACAAGAATGCCAAACATACACATTCAACTTCCTACTTGAAACAGGGATACTGAATGGATACCTTAAACTTAATGTATGTTCTTCTATTTCCAATGTCCCACTACAGTTTCTAACCTAGTTACACTTGGTCAATCTTCTCACATTCAGTAAATGGCATCATCATCTACAGATGGATAATATTGAGCTTAAGCCAAAAATCCAGAATTCATCCTTGCTTACTGTTCTTCGTCTGCAAGTTCCTATCAATCCTACTTTTAAAACATGTATCAACTCCAGTTCCTTCTCTACATGTCCACTTTCACCGAACTATTTCTGGCAATGTTTTCTCCAGACTTCTACAGTAGTCCAACTGGCCTTTCCGCTTCTATTTTTCGCGTTGCAACCAGAGAAATTTTCATACCTAAACTTTGAGTCTCTCCCCTCAACACACACCTATTTAAAGAATTTGTCAGTTTCTAAATGTTCTTCAAATAAATAGGGTTCCTAACAAACCTACAGCGTCTAGATGGTCTGGCTCTGCCTATCTGGTATTTTGGTGTGTGTGTGTGGGGGGAAGATTCTTCTCATGTTTGTCTTTTAAGTTTTCATTAGTATCTGTCCCTCTCCTTCTCCCCAACCAATGCTGGATGACAGCAGAACATTGGTATACAGCTTAGTGCTGTATCTCTAACATTTATTTAAGTGGCAAAAAGAGCTGTAAGAGGAACTCTGGTTCTCCAGACTGTAGCAGCTACATCTAGAATAAAACCTCTCTTTAGAATTCTCAACACCCTCTCTGTATGGGGTGAGGGGTACATTTCTGACCCTCCGGGGATGATCTCTACCTCACTCCATTCAGAATCTACGCAGAACGGTGGATTAGTATGTAGACCCCAAGTCAGAACACCAAGGGTCAAATCCTAGTTCTTCCATTTTATAGCTGTGTGACTTAACCTCTTTGTACATCAGTGTCCTCAGTTGTAAAATAAGGAGAAAAGTACCTACACCTACACACACACACACACACACACGCACACACACACACACAATAATTTATTTATTAGGCGACCTCTTCCTAGAGGCTGCCATTTCTGTGAAATGAACCCTGGCGGGTGCCTATCCCTTGGCTAAATGCCTACTGATTCAAGAAAAAAGTCTCAACTTTTTGCCCTTTAAACTGAGTTATCCTCCCCATGGTATCAATAAGTTGACTGAAGAACTGGTTATCTTTAGATTTTACCATCTAAAGACTTTAAGAACATACCCGGTATTTCCACATCCAAGTTGTCCTACTTGATATCCAGGCCAATTCACTTTCCAAGGCCAGGGATTAACAGCCGCGCGGGCAGCTTCAGACAGCACTCGCCACCGCGCCCCGCCTTGCGCCCGCCCCGCCTTGCGCTGCGCCCCGCCCCGCCCCGCCCCGCCCCGCCCCGCCCCGTGACGGTCCCAGCCCGCACATGCGCAGTCGTGAGTCCTCGTGTCCTTGAGCATCCAGCTTCTTTCCCTCAAGTGGCTGGGGTTCCTGTTTCCTTCTTCGAGTGACAACTTGTGGTAACCCTCGCACTTCTCTGGGCCAGTTTTTGCTTTTAAGTCTTTCCGGAGCTACCTGGAATTTAAATCATTTTGCTTTACTGTCATTAGCACCGCGCCCTTCCCCAAGAGTCTCCGAAGGGTTGCGGCTTTTCCGTGGCGCAGTTCTCGCGAGAAGGTCACTTTCTGCTCGGTATTTCCTGGTTTCCAGAATCCTTAGCGCGAGGCGGAAAAAATATCCCAGCTTGTGTGGAGGCTGCGATTTTGACTGAGACTTCTTCCCACGATTTCTGTTTTGCTTCTCCAAGGAAAATGGCAGCTCCCGAGCAGCCGCTTGCGATATCAAGGGGATGCACGAGCTCCTCCTCGCTTTCCCCGCCTCGGGGCGACCGAACCCTTCTGGTCAGGCACCTGCCGGCTGAGCTTACCGCTGAGGAGAAAGAGGACTTGCTGAAGTACTTCGGGGCGCAATCCGTGCGCGTCCTGTCAGATAAGGGGCGACTGGTAAGGGCGCGCCCCGCCGAGGTCTCCCGGGAAGGCCTTTGGCAAGCGACCGGGGAGGGGGAGCACTGACAGGAGTAAGGCGGAAACGAGTGGGGAAGATGCACTTGTGTGATGGGAGCTCCCCCATCCTACCTCTTTTGTATTAGAATATCTGCTCTGCGAAGTGGAGTTTTTATCGGCTTGAGTCTCGATTAGTCATAGCACTGCAGAAAAGGGCAATCGTGAACGACAAAGCAGAAGAATGGAAATTAGCTTAGTTATATTGAGTTTTCAGATCCATCCTGAGAGCCTCACAACTTTTTTGAATTTGGGGTTATTGCTTCTGGACTCAGCGTATTCTTACAAATGTGCATCAAGGGATTTTTAAAAGTCCTAGTTCATTTATAAGCCAGTGTTAAATCGTTCATCAAAATAGAGAAGAAGCTGCATTGGTGACTTGAGTAAATTAAATGCAGAATTTCAACTAGAAAAAGAGGCTTTTCATAAAAATTTCCCGATGGCATCTTTTAGGGAACATTTTTTTAGGACTGTTAAAAATACCTACGTAGGAATTTACACAATTACTTTGTTTTGCTTTATATCCAAAGATGTTTTGATTTCTCTTCATTAAAATAGGAATAGCGATGGGGCAAGACATCAGTGGTTTAAAAGTTTCCCCAGGTGATTTTAATGTTAATGTGCAGCCCATGCTGAGAGTTACTGAATTATAAGAAAGGCCAATTTTGATCAGTTTAAGTGTCATTTATACCCTAAAATTCAAAAACAAAAAAAAAATTATGGCTCAATTTAAGTACGTTAGGTCATCGTGGATCAGATTAGACAAAATTAGAGTGTGCAATATAATTATTAAAGTAACTTTTAATAAGCATTCACCAGAGCTCTTCCTTAGCATAGTGTTTCTTTTACTGTTGACTTGTGTTTCTTTTCTGATGGTTTTTAAAATCTTTATAATTTACGTTTAAAAATATGCTTCTCCCGTTGAACATTATTACAAAGATAAAGCACAAAGGAAATATGTACCTTGAAGAACGATTTCTCTGTTGGTGAATGTTTTTAAACTGTGCATTGTTATCTATAGAGGAAAGTTTAAAATCTTTAGGTCTGTCATAAATGAAAGAAATAAATTTTTAGTTGGCTAAAAGTGACGCTCTGTGTAGAAGAGGTCTTTAAACTTTTGGTCTTTTGAACTATTTGCATGTGTAAAACGTGTGTCTTTATATGGTAGAGGTTGCATAGCTTTCATCTCAAATCTGCCTCAAAAAAATGTTGAAAACCACTGGGCTGAAATTATTGATCAGTTAAATGGTTTTGACTTTTCATACTTTCCCATGATTTTATTAACATGTCACATTATTCCACTGGTAAAATGTCAGATTTCTTTATGAGAAACTGAAATTATATTGGAAGTAATTTGTACCTTAACTCTGTTTCAGAAACATACAGCTTTTGCCACATTCCCTAATGAAAAAGCAGCTATAAAGGTATGACTTTTTCTTGACTATTAAAGTTGTCAAAAGTATCCTCTTATCCAGTCTTGGTTCAGATAATGTTAAACTGTGGTTTTTAAGAAGCAAAAGCATTTGTATTGCAACAGTTTCCCCAACAGGACTACATTTGATTTGTTAGTTGGTAGATATTGCCCAGTCCTTTAGTAGATTATCTGTAAACCAAAACTAACTGCATATGTAATTAACATAATTTCTAAATGATTTAGATTGATAAATATCTCTGTGACTGTTACAAGGTAAGATGTTTCAAGTGTTAAAAGGAGAATATACATTTTTTTAAAATGCCAGGGAATCATTCACAAAGGAAGTGATCTTTTAGCTAGAAGTCTAATGATAATTGGATTTTTTCAACAGGAAATAAGGCGAGATGGGCCTTCGGGGCTTGGGGAACACCAAATAAAGCTGGGAGTCATTGCAATTTATAAGTGGAGCAGGAGCTAAAGATTGAGATGGAAATGGGACTTGAAAAATAGATTGAGTCTGGGAGAGAGGTATTGAGTTTGGTTTAGTAGGTGTGCACTTGATACTTTTGAGCTGGCTCATAATATAATCAGGCCTGTGAAAGATATCTGGTATAGTTCATATCATGGATTGGATGCGCAGAATTATTACAGGTAGGAGACCAAATGGAAGGCTGTTATAATGGCCAAGACAAGAATAACTATCTGAAGAAGACAATAAGAAGACAAAGGGGGAAGTAGATATATACTTAATAGAGATTGAGTTTGTAGGTTTTATAATATAGGGGTTGAGAGAGACGGGTTCAGGATATTTGGACTGAGGATTGAGTTATTTGGGTTGTTATATTAGCTGACATGAGGATCCAGAGAATGTTTGCAAAAGTATATGATGAATTCACATGTCATCTGTTAACTTGGAGGGGTCACTGGGCTACTTTTGTGGAAATATTTAAAAATATTAGTCTAGAGCTGAGGCAAGGGGAAGAATGGAAAGATTCTTCAGCCATGTAAATAGATATGATTGCCCAAAGGGTAATAAGCTAGGAGAGAAGAATGGGAAGGAGCAGTTAAAGTAGGAGAACTAGAAAGGAAATTATCACTGATGCAAAGAGAAGTGTGTTTTAAGAAGATGAAATCCTGTGATGATGCAAAATGAGGAATGAACACCTCTATTAAAGTCTTTTTGCCATGAAACAATAGAAATGACCCAAATTTTCATTGGTAAAAGGAAGGGAAGCCTTAAATCACATTATGTCCATATACTGGACTGCAGCTGTCTGAGAATGATATCAAGTGGTATGTGTTAATAGAGAATGATAGCCCAGATAGAGTACATGAATAAAGTTGTGAAACATTATCTATGATGTAACCTCAGATTTTTTGAAACTAATAGTATACATGTTAGCATATGCACAGGAAAAAAATATGACAGAACTATACCCCAAAATGTTAAAAACATCTTTTTCTGAGAGCAGGATTACAGAGGGCTTTCATGTTATATTAATATGTACTTTTATAATGATAGGTAATTTTTTTTTTCAGAAAAAAGTCTTTTTAAAAATATAGCATAATACATTATAAATAAAGTATGGGAATGAAAAACGCATTGTTTTAGGGTCAAAAATAACTTGGAGGAGAGCACATGGAGCCAGTCATTGTCTTTGGAAATGTTTGTAGTGAAAGGAAGCAGTAAGAGGTTAATGGCAGTATTGATAGGGCTTTTAGGCTAGAGAACATTTGGCCTTATTGGAAAGTGATAGATTAAGAAAACAAAGGGAGAAATGTTCAAGAATAGAGTAAGTAGCCAAGTTAGGTAGGAGGAGTTAACATTAAAAGTGAAAAGCCATAAATCTTTGAGAATAAGAACTTATGTGATACCCATTTTGAGAGGAAGAAAGTTGGAGTAAGTCAGGTTAAATGACCTTCATTTCAGATAATCAAGCTTCACTGATAATGAAGAGGTCTAACATTGATTTAGGGTCTTGAAAATTATTGAAACATTTTAAAACTAACTTTGTATGATGATGTAAGGCAGGGATCCTCAAACCCCGGGACACGTACTGGTACCCAGCCACAGCCTGGTACCCAGCCACGCCTTGTTAGAAGCTGGGCTGCACAGCAGGAGGTGACTAGCAGGCTGAGGAAGCTTTATCTCTATTCACAGCCTCTCCCCATGGCTGCCTGAGCTCCACCTCCAATCAGATCAGCAGTGCCTTGGCCACTGTTGTGATCTGCACATGCAAGGGATCTAAGTTGCACTCTCAATGAGAATCTGACTAATGCCTTATGGTCCGAGGTGAATCAGTTTCATCTCAAAACTATCTTCCCACCCCCTACCCTGGCCTGTGGAAAAATTGTCTTACACAAAATCGGTCCCTGGTTAAGGCTTGTAGTTTCATGTGTTGCAAAACAATTAAGTGCCGACTATGTGCTAGATGCTGTTTTAGGTTTTGGGATTATATGTGAACAAAAATGGAGATGATTATAGTTTGTAGTCTCAAAAGGGGAGACAGAAAATAATCTTTAATATTTTAGAAGACAATAAATGCTATGGAAAAAGGACAAGTAGAGCAATAAGATTGAGAGTGCTAAGTTGGGAGAGGTCAGGCTGTAGTTAGGGTTATATTTGAACAACAATTTGAAGGATGCGAAGGGAGTTAGCTAATGAAATTTCTGGGATAAGTATGTTTGAATTAGAGGAACAGCTGGATCAGGGGCTCTAGGATGTGACCATGCCTGTCACGTTGTTCAAGGAAACCACTGTGACTGGAGCATACATAGTGGGAGTGATCTGTGGGAGCAGGGGTGGGAGTGATTATTGGATTTGAAGTCAGAGAAGTCATAGAATCTATATTATGTAGATTATAGTAAGGAATTTAGATTACTGTCAGTAAAATAGGGAGCCATTGGAACAAGGGGGGTGACTTGATCTGACATATTTCAAAGGATTGCTTTCTCTGTTGTGACTAGACTGAAGGGAGGGAAAGGTAGAAACAGGGAAATCCATTAAAATGTTGTGGTAATTCAGTCCAGAATTGATGGTTGCCTTGACCACAATGGTAGTGGTTAGTGGTGATTAGATTCTTTATATAGTTTGAAGATAGAAGCAAGGATTTCTTATTGTATTTATTCCAGTAGGTTTTGGGGGAACAGGTGGTGTTTAGTTACATGCATAAGTTCTTTAGTCATGATTTCTGAGATTTTTATGTACCTGTCACCCAAGCAATATAAACTGTGCCCATTGTGAAGTCTTTTATCCCTCACCTCCACCCCCCACACTTTCTCCTGAGTCCCCAAAGTCCATTGTATCATTCTTATGCCTTTGGGTCCTCATAGCTTAGCTCCTGCTTAGGAGTGAGAACATTCGATGTTTGGTTTTCCATTCCTGAGTTACTTCTCTTAGAATAATGGTCTCCCATTCCATCCAGGTTGCTACAAATGCCATTATTTTGTTCCTTTTTATGACTGAGTAATATTCCATGTTTCATATATATATATCTATATCTCACAACTTATTTATCCACTCATTGATTGATGGACATTTGGGCTGGTTCCGTATTTTTGCAGTTGCAAATTGTGCTGCTATAAACATGCATGTGCAACTATCTTTTTTATATAATGACTTATCTCTGGGTAGATACTCAGTAACTGTATCAAATGGTAGATCTACTTTTAGTTCTTTAAGGAATCTCCACACTATTTTTCATACTTACTGTACTAGTGTACATTCTCACCAGCAGCGTGGAAGTCCCTTTCACCACATTTCTGCCAACATCTATTATGTCTTGATTTTTTCATTATGACCATTATTGCAGGAGTAAGGAGGTATTGCTTCATGATTTTGATTTGCGTTTCCCTGATCATTAGTGATGCTGAGCATTTTTTCATGTTTGCTGGCCATTTGTATGTCTTATTTAGAGAATTGTCTATTCATATCCTTAGCCCATGGGCTTGTTTTTTTTCTTACTGATTCATTTGGATTCCTTGTAGATTCTGGATATTAGTCTTTTTTTGGATGTATAGATTGCCAATATTTTCTCCCACTCTGTGGGTTGTCTGTCTGTTGATTGTTTCTTTCGCTGTGCAGAAGCTTTTTAGTTTAATTAAGTCCCATCTGTTTATCTTTGTTTCTGTTGCATTTGCTTTCGGGTTCTTGGTCATGACTTCTTTGCCTAAGCCAATGTCTAGAAGGGTTTTTCCGATGTTATCTTCTAGAATTTTTATGGTTTCAGGTCTTAGATTTAAGTCCTTGATCCATCTTGAGCTGATTTTTGTATAAGATGAGAGATGAGGATCTAATTTCATTCTTCTACATGCGGCTTGCCAATTATCCCAGCACCATTTGTTGAATAAGGTGTCTTTTCCCCACTTTATGTTTTTGTTTGCTTTGTGGAAGATCAGTTTCCTGTAAGTATTTGGGTTTATTTCTGGGTTCTCTATTCTGTTCCATTGGTCTGTGTGCCTATTTTTATACCAGTACCATGCTGTTTTGATGACTTTGGCCTTATGGTATAGGCAAACAGGATTTCTTAATGGCTTGGATATGGAATGTGGGAAAGAAGCATTAAAGATGATTACAAGATTTTTGACCTGAATAACTGGAAGAATGGACTTGCCATCATCTGAAACAGAGATAGCTCCTGGTGGAGCACATTTTTGGCTGGGGGAGATTAAGCAGTTTAGCTTCTGAAATGTTGATTTTGAAACGTTTGTTAGAAACCTATGGGGCACTATCCATTATTTGAATATGTGTTCCTTGACTTCAGGACAGAAGTCTGTGCTGAAATTATAAATTAGTGAATCATTAGCATATAGATTTAAACTTCAGATACTGGATTAAATCACCAAGATAATATGTTGAGATAGAGAGGAAGACCAGGATGAGAGCTCTGGAGCATTCCAACATTAAGAATGTGAAAGAAGGCACAAGTCAAAGAGATGGAAGAGTAGAAACCAGTGAGCTAGGAAGAAAATTGTAAGAACGTATGAAGTCTTGAAGCCAAGTGAATGACATGTATCAAGGAAGAAGTGATTAACTATGTTAAATGCAATCAAGTGAAGACTAGGAGTTGATCATTAGCCCAACAATACAAAATTTGTTGTCTATGATAAGCAGTCTCATTAAACTTGTTAAAGCATTAACCTGATTGAAATAGGTTTGAAACTGAATAGGCAGAGAGGAGTTGTAGATAGAGGGTTTATATAACTTCTGCAGAGTTTTACTACAAAACTAATAATGCAAATTTAGGATGGGAGAAATAGGAGCATATTTTCATACTGATATGGATAATCCAATAGAGGACAGAAAATTAACAGTTTAAATAAGAGCACCCCCCCACACCCCCCACCACACACATTTCCAGAGCATAGCTAAATAAAGACCCTTGAGTAGATGAGAGGATGGAATTTAGTATATAAGTCAGGCAGCTGGATTTAGATAGGAATGTGGATAGTTAATAGATTATAACAGATAGAACATAGAATTTTGGCATGCATATGCTGGTAGATGGGGAGTTATAGTGGAAATCTGATATTCTCATGTCATCACTTCAGTTGTCTCAAAGTAGGAAACCAGGTGCTAGGCTAACGGAATGCAAGAAAAATATTGTGAGGTTAAGGAACAAGGAGAAAGTATAAAATATTCTCTTATAGATGGGAAAAATAGACTACGATTGTAATAAGTAATTTTGTGGTATCATTAAAGGTCACCTTGCAGTTTGTGGTGCTGTTATAAATTGAAAGTAAGGCCATGGAAATCTGTTAGTTTGTTTTCTAGCCATTTTCAGCTGCCTGGGTATAAGCAGAGCTGGCATAAAGTGGGATTTAGCCAGATTTTTATTTTCCTCAGTTATAGGAAGTAGTCCTTTAATAAGTACTAAAGGCTTGATAGCCTGAATTTAAAAATAAATTAGGAAATAGTCAAGGAAATGTTTACAGCATTAGCAAAAAAAAAAAAAAAAAAAAAAAATGTAGGGACCAGCCCCACAGGATCGGTGGGTTTTTCTCCCCATGTGTTTAGACGAGAGACTGTAGAAATAAAGACACAAGACAGAGATAAAAAACAGCTGGGCCCGGGGGACCACCACCACAAGACGTGGAGACCAGTAGTGGCCCTGAATGCCAGGCTTTGCTCATATTTATTGGATACAAGACAAAGGGGCAGGGTAAGGAGTGTGAGCCATCTCCAATGGTAGGTGAGGTCACGTGGGTCACGTGTCCATTGGACAGGGGATCCTTCCCTTCCTGGCAGCCGAGGCAGAGAGAGAGAGAGAGAGAGAGAGCAAGAGCATGCTTATGCCATTATTTCTGTATGTCAGAGACTTTTAGTACTTTCACTGATTTTGCTACTGCTATCTAAAAGGCAGAGCCACGTGTACAGGATGGAATATGAAAGTGGACTAGGAGCGTGACCACTGAAGCACAGCATCACCGGGAGACAGGCCTTTGGATAACTGCGGGCAGACCTGACTGATGTCAGGCCCTCCGCAAGAGGTGGAGGAGTAGAATCTTCTTTAAACTCCCCCTGGGAAAGGGAGACTCCCTTTCCCGGTCCGCTAAGTAGCCAGTGTTTTTCCTTGGCACCGACACTACCACTAGACCACAATCCGCTTGGCAATAGGCGTCTTCCCAGATGCTGGTGTTACCGCTAGACCAAGGAGCCCTCTAGTGGCCGTGTCTGGGCATGACAGAGGGCTCACACTTGTCTTCTGGTCACTTCTCACTATGTCCCTTGAGCTCCTATCTCTGTATGGCCTGATTTTTCCTAGGTTATAATTGTAGAGCAAGGATTATTATAATATTGGAATAAAGAGTAATTGCTACAAACTAATGATTAATGACATTCATATATAATCATATCTATGATCTAGATCTAATATAGCTCTTGTTGTTTTATGTATTTTATTATACGGGAACAGCTCGTGTCCCTGGTCTCTTGCCTCGGCACCTGGGTGGCTTGCCGCCCACAGTGTAAACATTAGTCTCTGACAGATCATTTTTAGTACAATTGTGAAATGTTTACTCTTGTTCTTTTAACTCCAGGCATTGACAAGACTCCATCAGCTGAAACTTTTAGGTCATACTTTAGTCGTTGAATTTGCAAAAGAACAAGATCAGGTTCACTCCCCATGTCCCACTTCAGGCTCTGAAAAAAAAAAAAGGTATGTAGATAATACATTTTGTAACATTTTTAAAGTTTTTTTTTTTTTTTTTTTAAATCAGTTATACAATTATTGTATTGGTTTCAGACTAGCCAGTAAGTAATTGGAAGAGTAGTGACAGATTTTTCCATTAAATCTAGCACAGTGAAACAGTATCTTTATTTTTGCCCCTAATTGTGCATTAGGAACCAGATTTAATATTATAGTTTAATCAGTGTGAAGTGGGAAGGGAGTGGGCTGAAATGAATTCATCTTCAACCTTCAATGGAGGGAAAATAACCAGTATAATGTCTTTGTATCAGAGATAACACAGTGTGATAAAATCAAGACTGGCATTTGGTTTCCAGCCCTGACTTTTTATAGTACACCTTGACAAATTTGCTTTACACTAGTGTTTCTCAAAGTGTGGTCCCTAGATCAGCTGTATCATCTGTAAACTTGATCAAACTACAGAACCTTGAGCTTTTTTAACCCTGTCTTACTGAATCAGAAACTTCATTGAGGGATGGAAGGGATGGGAAAATGTTCTAGAAGTCTATGAGTTTTAATAAACTCTCCAACTGATTATGACACACATTAACGACATTTGATTACCACTATTTTATACCATGTAAACTTTAGTTTTATTTTTGGTCAGTGACACTTATGCTATCTTCATAGTCTTGCTATGAAGAGTAAATGAAAATGTGTAGTGCTGAATAATAATTTTATTATTATAGCACTTTTGTAGTAATAATAATACAGAAGGGATTCAGTAAAGGTTAATTTTAGTTCCCTTCCCATTTATAGGTGTTTGCTTGAGAAATACTTGAAAGTGTTTTTTTTTTTTTAAATCCAACTGTTTTTATAATGACGTGTTTGAAAAGGTAATTTATCTTTTTTGTGTGCGGTTTTTCACTCTTTGGAAAGGTGAGATTAACTTTGATTCTGTATGTCCCAGGTCTGACGACCCTGTTGAAGATGATAAAGAAAAAAAAGAACTTGGTTATTTAACAGTGGAGAATGGAATTGCACCAAACCATGGGTTAGCATTTTTATTTGCTTTTCTTTTGCTTTTGTTCTGTGTTGTATTCAGATATACAGATGTCTTACTGCTTTTTGCTTATTGTATATTGTGATATACAGATATCTTCTTATATATTGTGATATACAGATATCTTATTGCTTATTGTATATAGTGTTATATACAGATACCTTATTGCAAATAAGATAATTTAAGATAATTTTAAAAACAAAGATATTTATGTCATGTATATTTTTAATATGTTGAATCACATTTTGAGTTACGAGTTTGTCACTGAATTCAGTGCAGAGAAGGCATCTCTTGAAATGTTCAGAGATACAAAGTAAACCTCTGCCAAGAAATACAGTAGCTTATTTTTCTTTTTAAATGTACTTCGGATCTTTTAGGAACAAGGTAAATCTAATAGTACTGTATCATTTGAGCAGTGTGTTTGTTACCAGGTTACCTAAAATGAGTTACTGATATGAAATTATTAAAACATAAGCATCTTAAATTTTTTTTTTATTTTATAGGCTGACTTTTCCTTTAAATTCATGCCTCAAGTATATGTACCCACCACCTTCCAGCACAATCCTTGCAAACATAGTAAATGCCTTGGCAAGTGTGCCTAAGTTCTATGTACAGGTAAGTGGAATAAAACTTGTCCTAAAAGGACTTGTTTATATAGCTTGATATTTTATTTTTCATGCTGATTCTCATAAAAGTAATCAGATTAATTCTAGACAGCCAGTGATACACTACTTTAAATGTAATTAAATATTTACTACTTTCAAGTAAAGACTTTTCTAAGGTATAGTATAAGTGGATACTAAGAAGCTAGTTTGGGAAATGTAATTTGTGATAATTCTCTATTACTTTAGAATACACCATTAAATAGAGATTCAGACCCCTGAGCAAATGCTTAAAAATATTGGCAGTAATAACATATGTTTTTGAAGTACAAAGTATAGATGTATTTTAATGTATTTCTCTGTTTTATAATTTTACAATAATTGGGGTAAAGATATAAAATCATTTCAAGTAGGTTTTATATTGCAAGAACATTACATTCTTAGCAATGGGACTAATTGAACATGTAGAATTGACATTTTAGGAAGGTTAATCTGAGATACACCAATGCCTTGTTTTACCTTATGCAGAGATCCTAAAGTCAAGAGATAGGCAGGTGTTCCTTTACACTCAATTAATAAATAGTGTTATTGCAAAGTTTCTTAGTATGTAAAATGCAAGATGTGAGTTGAATCAATTTATATGTGAATTTAAATGTTTTACCATTTTAAGGTCCTTCATCTTATGAATAAAATGAATTTGCCCACACCTTTTGGACCAATTACTGCGCGACCTCCCATGGTAAGACAGCTTTTAGAATTTTCAAGTCAAAATTTCTCTTCCCGAATGGGATTATTGAGGCTGAATTATACAGGTGTTGTAGCAACCTCTGATGTACATTGAAAATAAGGAACAGACATAAAGTAATATGTTGATAATAGAAGAACTGAGAACTGTAAGTGAGGAAAAGCCAGAATATGAAAGAAATGCTTTTGGCAATAAAGACTATCGTTTCATCCAGCATTGTTAAGTTTTTTGAGCCAAAACATTGTGCCATCCTATAAGGTAGTTACGCTTAACTGGATTACCTAAGGATTTCATTGTTCTGGTTTTGTCACAAATAGAGCTTTGTTTGCAAAAGACGAAAAAGGGTGCTGGTATTTTTATTAGACTTGACTATGCAAATCTGTCAATAATTTAGAAGTAGGCTATACCTGCTCTTGAATAATTTTAGTTATTATTTTGCTATAGTACTCTTAGTATATTTATAAATAATAGCAATGCAAAATTATTAATACATTGAGTGTTCATATATGAATAGAAGAGAATTTGGTTTGGAATTTGCTGCTTTTCTAATGTATGTACTATTAACTTTAGGATTTGTTTGTTGTTTTTGTTTGTTTGTTTGTTTTTGTAACCCCAACACCTACTCAATGCTTGATATGTTACTGGAGAATTAATTAAGATTATACTAACTGCTATTAACAAATTCTTAGTCATTTAATACAATAAAAATGATTTTTGTCATGTCACATCCTTTCCAAAAGTAGAGCAGAGGGATATTTTGCTCTACTGAGCCATGAAAAACACCTGAATTGTTTTGACCATGTGCCTTCCCAGATTGATGAAGACATTGCTACACAGTCTGCAGATCAGGAAGGAAAAATTATATGTGGGAGTTTCTAATTGTCTCATTTCATTGCCTATAACTCAGTTACAAGGGGAAATATAACTACAGAGGATCTTTGAAAATTTAGTTCAGCTGAGGGTGAAGGAAGAAGAGGCACATTTTGTGATCAGCTAGTGATCTGCCATACAGGGTGTTCCCTGAACATGTGTAGAATGTGTTAAAAAAAAATGTGATAGAAATGAGAATGAAGTATTCAAATGGAGTTTGTTCTATAAATATTTTAGACCGCCATAGTATTTTTGTTTTATTCTTTTAATTAGTATGAAGACTATATGCCGTTGCATGCACCTCTTCCACCCACATCTCCTCAGCCACCTGAGGAGCCTCCTTTGCCAGACGAGGATGAGGAATTATCTAGTGAAGAATCAGAATATGAAAGCACAGATGATGAGGACCGACAGAGGTTTGTAACATGAAATATTTGTTTAGTTTCCTAGAAACATAGAATGTAAGAAAGAGATTCTCGCTCTCTCTAGATTTTGTGTTTATAATTCTTTATAGTTTTGGGTGATTAGAATTTCTCCTCAGCCCCCCAGCACCTCAAGCATATATAGCAGCTATGAATTAAGACCTGAGAATAGATACCAAGACCTAAGTGAAAATTTTTGGATTATGCATAATTTTTTAGATTGATGATTATGGTATTATAAACTACGTTCGAGCCTTGTTATTTGTGGATTCCATATTGGCGAATTTGCCTACGTGCTAAAATTTATTTGTGACTCCAAAATCAATAATTGATGTGCTTTTTATTAATTATTATTATTATTATTTTTTCTTTTGACACAGAGTTTTGCTCTTATTGCCCAGGCTGGAGTGCAATGGCGTGATCTCAGCTTACCACAACTTCCGCCTCCCAGGTTGAAGCGATTTTCCTGCCTCAGCCTCCCAAGTAGCTGGGATTACAGGCATGTGCCACCATGCCCGGATAAATTTTTGTGTTTTTCGTAGAGATAGGGTTTCTCCATGTTGGTCAGGCTGGTCTCGAACTCCCACCTCAGGTGATTCGCCTGCCTCAGCCTCCCAAAGTGCTGGGATTATAGGCATGAGCCACCACGCCTGACCTTGATGTGCTTTTTAAAGTTTTTGGTGGAAATGGACATTGTGCCATGTGGTGAAAAATTTGAGTCAGTCAACACATAGGTTCCCAGATGAAGTCAAATAAAGACACCCTCTAAGAGCCTTTTGTTTCAGTTCTCATATTACAAACAAGTATCCTTTTCATGGTCTATTCAGCACTACCTTTTTTTACATTTTTGAGTTTTTTTGTTGTGACTCTTGTGTTTAAAATGGCCCTCGAGCATGGTGTCGAAGTGCTCTTTAGTGTTCCTGAGCTCAAGAAGGCTATGTCAAGCCTGATGGAGAAAATACATGGTTTTCCTTCAGGCCAGAGTTATGGTGGTATTGACTGTGAGTTCAATGCTAATGATTCAATAGTGTATATTAAGTAAGGTGTTCTTAGACATAAACATATATTAAACAAGGTAATGTATTGATCAGTTGACAAGATGTTGTAAACAAAGGCTTCCAGGAACCTAATCCTGAATTTTCCTAGGGACAGTGATTTAGTGTTTATGGTAACCTTAGAACATAACTACTGCAAATAATGAACTTCGACTGTGTTCATGTTTTGACAGATGCTTATTCTTCTGGACTTTATTTACCTCAGAATAATTTCTAGAGCAATTCTTTAGGATTTTATACAAAACTATTCATAGTAACTACTGCAGATGAATTATTCTTTTTATTGATAGTTCTTGACAATCTATGTATTTTATTTAAGGATTCTGACAAACAATAGTACATTGTTAATAATGTTCATGTATATAATCCACAGCCTGACTTAGAACAAGAGTTGCCAAACGGTTTCTTTATAGGTCCAAAGAGTAAATATATTTGACTTTGTGAGACATGTGGTCTCTGTTGTGGCTACTCAGTTCTACCCTTGGAGTAGGAAAGCATCCATGGATAGTATACGTAATGAGTTGATATGGCCTTATTCCAACTAGATTTTATTTATAAAAACAGGCAGCTAGCTGGATTTGGTCATTGAGCTGTAGTTTGTCAACCCCTATCTGCAGGACTCTGATGGTAAAATGATCGAAATCTTAGGTGACTATGCATAGAAGAAGTGGTATATAGGAGGAATGAGTGGTTGGCATGAGGCAGAACCCAAGAAGAGACTCTGAGCAACATACACAAATAATTGCAATTTGACTGAGTCAGTGTCCACCTAAGTAGTGGTACAATGTGCAGTGTATTCTCTTTGTAAGGAAAGAGTTACAATCAAAGCATAGATGGGGCTGAAGCTACAAAATGGGAGTGAATACAGTATCTGTCTTAGATAGAGACGTTTAGGGAAGCTGGCAGTTCCTGATAGATGGTTACTTTAACTTGTTGCTAAAAGAAAAAGAATAGTATAGAGTGTTAACTCTGGTTTAATTACTTAACCTCTGTGAACTTCACTTTCTTTATAAAAATAATGATAGTAATTAGAAATGCTATAGTAAACTGGTCAAACCGTTTTTTGTTTGTTTACTTAGGTTTCCATTAAAGGATGTAGTGTGGAATTCTAACAGTAATTCATCTTGAGTCCTGAGAGAGAACATAGCCTTTGCATGTACCAAGCTCTAGTTTCATGCTTCTCTGTTATCTTCAGGAAATGTAATAACACCTAAACAAAACAAAAATGGTACAGGTTGAGTACCTCTAAACTAAATCTGAAATCCAGAATGCTTCAAACTCTGAAATTTTTTGAGTACCAAGTATGATACCACATATGGCTGGCTTAGTGACACCTTTGCTTGTTTTCTTTCTCTCTTTTTTCTTTTTAAGGCAGGGTCTTACTCTTTTGCCCTAACTGGAGTGCAGTGATGTAATCATGGCCTACTGCATACTCAACCTCCCGGGCTCAAGCAGTCTGCCCGCATCAGTCCCAGTAGCTGGGACTACAGGCATGTGCTATCACACCTGGTTAATATTTTTCGTATTTTTGTAGTGATAGGGTTTCACCATGTTGCACAGGCTGGTCTCAAAATCCTGGGCTCAAGTGACCCACCCTCCTTGTCCTCCCAAAGTGCTGGGATTATAGGTGTGAGCCACCGTGTCCAGCCAACACTTTTGCTTTCTGATGTTTCCATGTACACAAACTTTATTTCATGTACAAAATTATTAGGAATATTATATAAAATTATCTTCATCTTTTGTGTATAAGTTGTATATGAAACGTAAATGAATTTTGTGTTTAGAGTTGTGTCTCATCCCCAAGAGATCTCATGTATATGCAAATATTACAAAACCGATGTAATTCTGGTTCCAACCATTTTGGATAAGGAGTGCTCAACCTGTACTATTCATTTATTCAGCAAATAATTATTGATTACTGACTATATGTCTAGCACTCTTGTAGAGGCTCGGTGTACTTTGGGTCAGCAATTTATAAATGTAGACATATACTGTGAATAACTAAATTTTTTCATAAAGTTTTTAGTAAACCGTAGTTTTTTAAAAGGGTTTAAAAATTTATAGCATATGTTTTCATTTTTTCTCAGGGAAAAAGGTTTAAAGCTTATTTGAACAATACCCTCCATCCTCTCTTTTGTATTTTGTTATGTGCATATATTTATTTTGCTTTCAAATTTTACAAATATAACCCTGAGAAGTAGAGCTGGGACTAATGGTTTTCAAGTTCCTGCTCTGTAGATGTTACAGAAATACCTAGACAAGATCTATCTCTAATATTAAATATTCATACTCTTAATAGAGAAAAGCTATGTACAAGGTGTTATCACTTCCTGAAACTACTTCAGAGCATAGTACAGGATTTGAAAACTGTTCTCAAGTAATTTAAGTTACCTTATTTATAGGATGATTGATTTGCAACAGTTATGCACAAAAAGCTTTTAAATGACATATTTCAGTCTGGGCTCTGTTTAATAATTAGAATATGAATAAATCATTTAAGAACATTAATATTATATCAATTTTATTATTGTATCTTGTTCAACTGTTTGGCATTGAAGTTCAACCATTTTATTTGGGCAGCTGCTTATGATGAGACATACATTTTAAAAATTGATAACATGTAATTAAGTCTATTTTTAATTTTTTCCAAGTAAGATGAAAGCTGAGCAAGGCAATTTAGTATTTGAGCTTTTATCAAATTGATTATCTCTTAATTGATGGTGTTTTGTATATTTGATATAAGTAAAACATTTTAAAATTTAAATTATATACCAAAATACAAATTTAACTTTAATAGAAACAGTGGTAAATAGCTATGGTTCTAGAAAGGAAATTTTGTTTATCATTCCTCTCCTCATTGTAGAATGAACAAATTAATGGAACTAGCAAATCTTCAGCCCAAAAGACCAAAAACAATAAAGCAGCGCCATGTGAGAAAAAAGAGAAAAATAAAGGATATGTTGAATACACCTTTGTGTCCTTCACACAGGTAATTTTATTTGAACTATGAAATGAGGGTTGTTTGTATGTACTTTGTTTATTTGCTTAATTCACATCATTCTTCAAGCTGGCATTTGTTTCCTTTCAATGTTCTTGGTTTATCATTGGCTTCCTAGTTGCCAAATTTATAAATATTCATAGTTCTCTCACAATTGACCAGTACTCTCTTCTCTGTCCTAAGCCTTCATGTATTTTCTTCCAGCTTCCTGTCTGCAGACTCAGAATTTCTTATAGGCACTTAGGATATTATCCAAAACAAAATTCATTTACTTTCCTTTTACCATTTCTTTGCTCTTTCTCCTTGTGCATTTATAGTTTTGTTAGTGACATTACTGTCACTAGTGTAATATATTAGTGAATAATGTCACTAATGTAAACATGAGCGTGTTTATATCCAGTTATTTAGTTTCTCTTAACTCCATCACCTGATATCAGACATTTTTTATTTAAAAAGTACCCAGCAGGTAAAAATTCACATATCTTTTCTTGGCACACAGGACCCACCAGAGTGCCTTTAAGTATTTGTTGAATGTATGGTAAGGTTCTCTGCTAAATATTGTGTGTAGTTTAAAGCATGCTTCTAAAGTTTAATGCTGTCTTTTCAAACAGTGAGTTAATAGTCTTAAGGATAATAAGCCAGATGCACAGATGATTATTGTATTAGCATTTATAATACATGACATAGAAAATATAAACTAAGAACTAAAAGGTTGTGAGAAAAGAGAGGCCACAGCCAGTTGAGAAATTTGGAAAGGTTGTAAGAGAGAGAGGAGACATTTGAGCTGGCCCTTTAAGGAGGAGAGACAAAAATTAGGCAGGGAAACTGTAACCTATGTGAATGAAAGAATAAAAGGAAAGTTTCCAGAGGTAAGAAAATTTATTGAATAGGAATAGAAACAATGAAAGAGAAAGCTAGAAGGATTTGAAACCTCCCCTAAATGTTAGGCTGTGAAGTTTGAATTTATTGAAGAAGCCATTGGAATGCCATTGATATTTTTAAAAATTAAGAATTCCTTTTGCACTACTTTATCTTGTAATAAACTTCCTAAGGAATTTGCAGATTTGGGATAAGGGTCAAGCCATAGTTATCCAAGAATGTTAGTAGATATAAGTTACCTTTCCACTGTGTTTTGCACATTTTATTATAGTCCAGAAGTTGTCAGTAAAAGGATATTTGTTTTATACATGTTTAAATTATTTTACCTTTTTTTCCCTTTGAATCTCTATAGTGACACTGAACAATAGAAATTAATGTGAGCCATATTAAAATTGTATGAAGACATAATGTAAAATATCTTGATAGCTTTTTATATTGATTATATGCAGAAATAATATTTTGGATATAATGAGAAATAATAAGTTATTAATATTTCTTCTGTTTCTTTTCATGATTTTAATGTGACTATTAAATTTTAAGTCATCAAAATCTAGTGTTATCTATATGTTTAAAATATCAAACATAGAATGCACTATTTTGCATATTGGTAAATATCCTGGGGTTTAGAATCAATAGTCATCAAATCTCTGTCATTTCCAAAATGACCTTATACAAATTATTAACATTGCTGAACCTCAGTCTTTTCATGTGTAAACTAATAATTTATTAGTACCTATATGAGAGTATTAAAGTTTATTAAACTAATAAATCTAAGTCACTCTCTTCATTCAATATCAAAAGTGTAGTGAATCCTTTGTCAGTGTTAACTTTTAGAATTTAAACTTGAAATAATATTTTACTCAGGATTTTATTTGCAATTACAAACTAATGCTATGATTGTTTTTAAATAGCAGCTTACATCCAGTGCTGTTACCTTCAGATGTATTTGACCAACCACAACCTGTAGGTAATAAAAGAATTGAATTCCATATATCTACTGACATGCCAGCTGCATTTAAGAAAGATTTAGAGAAGGAACAAAATTGTGAGGAAAAAAATCATGGTAAGGATATTCTAGTTATTTCACAGGCTGAAATCAACTTTTTTTTTGTGTTAGAATTAAGTTTTACATACAATGTTTTGTATTTTAGTGTTTGTCAACTTTATTTAAAATATGCAATTAGTGTTTCCTCAAAATCATGGAATAATATCCACTTTCAACTTTTTTGTATAACAGAAATTGATGGTAAATGGCAAGATTGTCACTGTTACCCTTTGCTAATAATGACTTCTAGAATGAAATTTAGTGCTTTTTGCTGATGTTTACACTAAAAATATAATGTAGTATATTTTATTGACTTTTTCATTGCTTGTTTCATGTAGTGGCCTATGGTTTTATTAGTGTAATTATACTAATATTATTGGTTAGAAAACAAGCAATGTGACTATTTTGTGAGTTGTAGACTTAATGTAAATGTATATATTTTTAATCCAAAAGACATGGACAATTGTTGCCAAGAAAGCTATTCTTAAGTTTTAAAAAAAGTATTGAAATTACAGATTTTTTTTGCTTGTTTTAATCACGAATTTGATGTTATAATGGTGTTCTTTTGTTCTTTAAGTCTTTATTTTGAAATTTCTGAAATAATCCCAGTTGATCGGAATGTAACCAAAACAAATTAAAATTGTTAAAAAGTTAACACCTCAAACCTCACTCTCCTCTGTCCTACTACCTAAAGGCAAATACCGTTAGCAATTTGGTATGTGTATATATGTACGTGTGTGTGTGTGTGTGCGCGCGCGTGTGTGTATCCTTCCAGACCTTATCCTGTACATGTATGAACACATTTCTGTCTTATTTTTTAAATGAACGTTATGTTTTGATGGTATTTATCATTCACTCAGTAGTGACTTGTTGAAAGTTTGTTATCTAGCAGCCTCCATGGACAAGTTTGCCATGGTCTCTTTTTTGAAGTTTACAATCTAGTTTGGGGTAGCTTACTATGTCAAAATAGAATCATATACTTTACATTTTTTAGCTGTATAATAACCCGTAATATAATTTTGTCAATATTTTATCATGCTTTTTTCATAGAAGTGGAGGTTGTTTCCCTTCTTTTACTATTATAGAAAATAGTGGAATATGTCTTTGCACATATATCTTTGAGCACTTGTGTGAATATAGGATAGAATTCTAGTAAGTATTGCAAACATAGTGAGTGAAAAACTGTGACTAGTTTTCATTCCTGTCTTGGATGGTGAGTGTGAATGTAGTGCCTTTTCAGGTAGCTCCTTTTTTGTGCATGTATTTAACATTTTTCTTTTTATACATTTTTCTTATTTCATGGCTAGTCACCCTTTAACACAATTTTTTTACTATTTGAACCTTTATAGAAAATGTTTACATATGCCTCTTTCAGTATATTCAGAAATACCAAAGAATTTTAGTGCCTAAAGATATATTATTAAATATAAACTGGGGGGAAGGGGCAGAAACTGTTTTTAAAGGAGAGATTCTTATGGTTAATGTTAACATTTAACTCTTAGATTTACCTGCTACTGAAGTTGATGCATCCAATATAGGATTTGGAAAAATCTTCCCCAAACCTAATTTGGACATCGCAGAGGAGATTAAAGAAGACTCTGATGAAATGCCATCAGAATGTATTTCCAGAAGGGAATTGGAAAAGGGCAGAATTTCTAGAGAAGGTAATATCACGAAATAAACTAAGCACATATTCCATTTTACATATCTTTGACTTTACAGAAACAAAACAAATCTATCATGCCATTTACCTTAATTTAAGGCACATACTTTAGAACATCTCTCTGATTAATGTTTGTAATCACTTCTTCTGTTTTTTTTTAATACTCATACTTTATGGTGGAGGGAACATTTCTTTCCATACAGTGTTTCCAGTCTATATTTGGGAAACATTTTTGTTTTCATTCCTAAAACTTTTATGTGTCATTTAAAATAAGTCAGTGTGCCCTACAAGTCTGGGGTTATATATTCCAAATGCAGCCGAAAGACTGTCACAAATACTGTGTCTGAGATACATACAAAGCGATGTTAAAAAAAAATGGTGATCAGAAATCTATGATTTTAGGATTTTATATCCTAACATGATAGTTTTCTACTTCTCAAAGACTTTTACTGTTTTAGTATATTGTCAGAAAATATTTAGAGGCTTTAGATTGATATGTAGTACATAATTTTTCCTACAGTAATGGGAAATAGACTTCCAGCTAGGATTTTTACACAAAACATCTATCTGATTTTCTATAACAGACTACTGACATTAAATGAGAGGAGCTATACAGGGGTTCTTAGGCCATGGTTTGTCATTGCACAACAATCACCTGGAGAGCCTGGAAAAACAGTTTTATAGGCCCACCTGCAGAGATGCCTGATATTGTGCTTGCTTCATTCTTGCATTTAAATATGGAGGTGGCTGATGGTTTGGGAAATTCACTTTAAGCAAAATAATTACCCAAATCAATTAGCATATATACTTTACTCTTTTTTTATAACATGACTCATCTTAATGGAGTTTTAATAGTAGATATTTTATTGGCCAAATTTTAGTAACTCTAGAAGTCTGAAATTTTTTAAACAAGTTTTTTATATATATAAAAACTTAAAAGTTTTATATATAAAAAGTTTTTTATATAATCAATTCAGATTTTCAGTGAGTATATTTAAACCCATTTGTAACATTGTTACTAATTTTATAGTTTTAACATTTTCATAAAGCTTAATTTCTCTATTTAACAGTTATATTTGAATATGAAAATTATATTTAAAAACTTGGTTAAAATATTTTAATTTTATATCTTTGTTTTTGTTTTTTAATAAGAAATGGAAACACTTTCAGTTTTCAGAAGTTATGAACCTGGTGAACCAAACTGTAGAATTTATGTAAAGAATTTAGCTAAACATGTTCAAGAAAAGGTAGGTATAAATTGATTTTTTTTCATGTAAATGAAAATAATTTGAGGTTTTATACTTGGTGTGTTAAAATCTGTGTGAAACTACCTTTAAGAATGTGTTTTTTTGTTGTTGTTTTTTGTTTTTTGTTTTTACTGTGCTTCAGGGCATGACAAATTATTGTTTAGTATTTTCAGGTTAATTTTTTGTTAAAATAATATTCTCATAGCTTGATTTCTCTGGCAGTAAATACTGAGACAGAGTTTGGAGTATGTATTAATTTCCTAGGGCTAAGTGGCTGAAACAACAGAGATGTGTTGTCTCACATTTCTGGAGGCAAACTGAAGGCAAAAGTGTGGCAGGATTAGTTCATTCTCAAGGCTTTGAGTGAAGGATCTGTTCTGTGCCTCTCCCATAGCTTCTGCTGGTATGCAGAAGCTGGCGATCTTTCACCTTCCTTGGCTTGTGGCAGCGTCATCACAATTTCTGCCTTTGTACATAGCGTACTCCCTTTGTGAGTGTCTGTGTCCCAGTTTTCCCTTTTGAAAGGCCACCAGTCAGATTAAAACCTTAGTCCAGTATGACCTCTTCTATTGATGTATTTATGTATTTATTTATTTATTAACAGTTTTTTTTTTTATTTTCCCCTGGCTTTATTTGTCTTCTTCGTATTGAAATTCTAGGACCTTAAATATATTTTTGGAAGATATGTTGACTTTTCATCAGAAACACAGCGGATCATGTAAGTGACAGTCAAATATAATCTTAAATTATGTTTTGTTTTTATCTGTTACAAATTTACTATTTTAATTCCATCATTTTCCTTTTAGAGATAAAAATTATATGAAAAAATTGGTCTGTGCTGTTGCACAATTGATCTTTTAAGATGTCTAGAATAGGAATTAGCAAACTTTTTCTGTAAATGGGCAGATAGTAAAAATTTAATATTTTTATTTTGTTGCAGATCATACTGTGTCTGTTGGAACTACTCAGTTTTGTAGTTGTATTATGAAGGCAGCCATAAAACCTGAATGAATATTCATGGCTGTGTTCTAATAAAACTCTTTGCAGAAACAGGCCTGTGATACATTCTGACCTTAATCTTCTCTCTAAATACATGGTTCTCAGACTTTAACATTGCACAAGAATCACCTGAAGAGCCTGGAAAAACAGTTTTATAGGTCCACCTGCAGAGAGTCTGATTTTCTAGGTTTCATGTGTAGGGAGAGTCTGATTTTCTAGGTTTCATGGGTAGGACTCATGAATTTGTGTTTCTGTGATTTGAAAACGATTCTTTCAATGAATCATCCAGGAATATATAGCAGTGAGGCAAAACTTTTTAGATTCTTACTCTGACAGTAAAGTATCATCTTTTAAAGAACTTCATTGAGCAAGGCTTCCAGTTTTGTGAAAGCAAAAGAGAGGGTGGTGATTTATAAATGTTATAAAAGCTAATGTGTTAGTCTGTTTTCACACTGCTGATAAAGACATACCTGAGAATGGGCAATTTACAAAGGAAAGAGGTTTAATAGAAAACTCTCAGTTCCATGAAGCCAGGTAAGCCTCACAATCATGGCAGAAGGCAAGGAGGAGCAAGTCACATTTTATGTGGCTGGTAGCAGGCAAAAAGACAGCTTGTGCAGGCAAACTCCTATTTTTTTTTTTAAACCATTAGATCTTGAGACTCCTTCACTACCACGAGAACAGTGCAAGAAAGACCCACTCCTATAATTCAGTCACCTCCCACAGAGTTCCTCCCACTACACATGGGAATTGTGGGAGTTACAATTCAAGATGAGATTTGGGTGGGGACACAGAGTCAAACCATATCATTCTGCTCCCACCCCTCCCAAATCTCATGTCCTCACATTTCAAAATGAATCCTGCCTTCCCAACAGTCCCCCAAAGTCTCAGCTCATTTCAGCATTAATTCAAAAGCCCACAGTCCAGAGTCTCATTGGAAACAAGGCAAGTCCCTTTTGCCTAGGAGCCTGTAAAATTGAAAGCAAGTTACTTACTTCCTAGATACAATGGGGGTACAGGCATTGGGTAAATACAGCCATTCCAAATGGGAGAAATTGGCCAAAACAAGGATGCTATGGGCCCTGGAGAACTCATCCAAACCAGAGGGGCTACAGCCCTTGTGCAAATCCAGAATCCAGCGGGGCAATCAAATCTTAAAGCTCCAAGGATCTCCTTTGATTCCGTTTCTCATATTCGGGTCATGCTGATGCAAGAGTTGGGTTCCCATGGCAGCTCCACTCCTGTGACTTTGCAGAGTACAGCCTCCGTCCCAGTTGCTTTCATGGGCTGGCATTGAGTGTCTGCAGCTTTTCCAGGTGCATGGTGCAAGCTGTCAGTGGATCTACCATTCTGGGGTCTGGAGGACGGTGGCCCTCTTACCACAGCTCCACTAGGTGGTGCTCTTAGTAGCAACTCCTGTGTGGGGACCCCAACCCCACATTTTCCTTCTGCGCTTCCTTAGCTCATGAGAGCCCCATCCCTGCAGCAAACTTCTGCCTGGACATCCAGGCATTTCCATATATCCTCTGAAATCCAGGTGGAGGCTCCGAAACCCCAATTCTTGACATCTGTGCACTGCCAGGCTCATCACCATGTGGGATCTGCTAAGGCTTGAGGTTTGCACCCTCTGAAGCTACCACCCAAGCTCTATGTTGGCCCCTTTCAACCACAACTTAAGTGTCTGGGAGGCAGAGCACCAAGTCCCTAGGCTGCACACACCACAGGTACCCTGGGCCCGGCCCTAGAAATCACTTTTCCTTCCTAGGCCTCAGGTGATGGGAGGGGCTCCCATGAGACCTCTAACATGCCCTGGAGACATTTTCATCATTTTCTTGGGGATTAACATCGGGTTCATCATTACTTATGCAGATTTCTACAGCTGGCTTGAATTTCTTCTCTTTCTTTTCTGTTGCATTGTCAGACTGCAAAACTTCTAAACTTTTATGGTGTTTACTTTTAAAACTGTATGCCTTTAATAGCACCCAAATCACCTCTTGAATGCTTTGCTGCTTAGAGATTTCTTCCAACAGATACCCTAAATCATCTCTCTCAAGTTCAAAATTCCATAAATCTCTAGGTCAGGGGCAAAATACCACCAATCTCTTTATTTTAAAACCATCAAACCTTGTGAGGCTCATTTACTATCACGAGAACACAAGAAAGACCCACCCGTATAATTTAGTCACCTGTAACAGCATTCCTCCCATGACACATGGGAATGTAGGAGTTACAATTCAAATGAGATTTGGGGACACAGAACCAAACCATATCAGCTAATGTTTGGAGTTAGAATTTCATTCTTTACAATACTGTATTTGTTAATTCCAAAGTATGAAAGACTCCCTGTCATATAAATTAAAAGTAAGAAGAAGTAGAAAGGATAAGGTAAGAGGCTTTTGAGTGCAGATAAAATAAAGAAGTGACTGTAACTAAGTTTTGTTTTAATCTTCAAGTGACATCAATACTTTAAAAATCTTATCTGGCCTATGTGTTTTTTTAGATAGGTATACACAAATGGAACCATGTTTTACAATTCTCTATATTCATTAGGAGCAAATACCTCTTATCAGGATGCCAAAATATTTTTTCTTTTGCTGGTCATGCAAAATGCTAGGTCTTTTTCTTGGTTGCCATCTTTGAGTAATGATTATAAGAAAAACATAATAATTTACTGCATTTTTTGATAGTTTTTTATGTTGTATTATTTTGGTAGTCTCATAGACTAAATATTAGGTAATATTTCAGTTGTAAATTACAATCTGATTTTTCTAAGTAGCGTTTGATTTTCTTTCAAAAATTTCAAAAAAATGAATACACTATGGAATAGATCACTATATTAGGAAGTTAAAAATTTGGTTTGTGTTTCTGACTTTAGATCTTAGCTATCTGCTTTGAAGAGTCACTCACTGTCTCTAGACATCACCTGTAAATTTATGGTTTTGAGTAGATAATCATTGAGGTTCCTTTCTACTTCGAAGTTCTGTAATTGCTTATAATAATATAATGAACTCTAGGCCGGGTGTAGTGGCTCACGCCTGTAATCCCAGCACATTGGGAGGCCATAGTGGGTGGGATCACTTGAGGTCAAGAATTAAGACCAGCCTGGTCTACATAATGAAACCCTATCTCTACTAAAAATACAAAAACTAGCCAGGTGTGGTGGCAGACGCTTATAATCCCAGCTACCTGGGGGGCTGATGAAGGAGAATTACTTAAACTCAGGAGGTGGAGGTTGCAGTGAGCCAATATTACGCCACTGCATTCCAGCCTGGGCAACTGAGCAGGCTGAAAAAATAAATAAATGTATCAAAAATTAAATAAATTAATTAATTTAAAAAACATAATATAATGAATTCTATAATTGCTTATAGCTGGTTGTTAATCCTTTCTATTTTTCCATTCTTCTTTATATAGTGTTTTTTTGTTTTGTTTTGTTTCTTTTTAATCACTTGAGCAGGTAGTGCCAGATTGTAAGGAACTTAAAAAATTGAGATAAATAATAATTGAAGAAGTTTGCAGCCGGGCACCGTGGTTCATGCCTGTCATCCCAGCACTTTGGGAGGCCAAGGCAGGTGGATCACAAGGTCAGGAGACAGAGACCATCCTGGCTAACACAGTGAAGCCCCGTATCTACAAAAAATACAAAAAATTAGCCGGACGTGGTGGTGGGCACCTGTAGTCCAGCTACTCCGGAGGCTGTGGCAGGAGAATGGCATGAACCCAGGAGGCAGAGCTTGCAGTGAGCCGAGATTGCACCACTGCACTCCAACCTGGGTGACAGAGCAAGACTCCGTCTCAAAAAAAAAAAAAAAAAAAAAAAAAAAAAAAAAAATGGGAAGTTTGCTTTTCTAATTACTAGTAGTATAATTTTTAAATCACATATTTTTATGATAGTTGAGAATAGTTAAAAATACATCTTAAACTAATACTAGCTACTTGTAGAATCAGTTTTAGTGCAAGAACATGAAATACATTTTTAGAAAACTGAATAATTGACGTGCCTATCAAATGTTTTAGTCACTTTTATTTGAAATAGCAACATTTTAAATTGTTCAACATATTTTCATTCACATCATTGAAACTAACATTCTTTGAATCAAAGCTCTTTTCTTCCTTCTAGGTTTGATATACGTTTGATGAAAGAAGGTCGTATGAAAGGACAAGCTTTCATTGGACTTCCTAATGAAAAAGCAGCAGCAAAAGCCTTAAAGGAAGCTAACGGATATGTACTATTTGGAAAACCCATGGTGGTTGTATCCTTTAAATCCATCTATTTCAAAACTATAATTTTTAGAAGGGTATAACTGAAATTAATTTTTGTGTTACCTTTTAGAAATTTCTACAATTGGCATTCTAGCAGTAGATATTCATTTAGTTACAGTTAAACCCACCTTACTGAGTCAAATGACAGTGTTACTTAGATTTTTAGTAAAGGAGCTTCAGCAGCATGAAGTTGTTCAATTTTAGCCAAGTTTTAAGTGTTTCGCTTATGCAGCTCAAAAGTACACAGTTATACGAAGAGACTAGAGTATCCAGAAGTACATTTGGAGTCATAAAAGAACTAATTCATTTTATCATTTTATTGTAATTTATATTTCTACATGAGAATTTTAATAACCAGAGTATATCATTGATTAACCATCTTGCTTTTAGTAATCAATGCAGTTTGCAAACTAGAAATCAGCAAGATAGGTAAAGAAGCAAAGGCCCAGGTATAAAAAATAATGATTATAAAGGAAAAGTTAATTATTAATTTCCTCTCAAGTCATGGAGTCAGGAGACACTCAAGGTAAATTAAAAAACCATACTCTCACCATACATTAGAACGTTTTTGAGAATTATTTAGAAAAGATTACTTGCATATTCATGAAGGAAACCTTAATTTTAAATTATTAGCAGTTTGCTCGATCTGCTAGACCAAAACAAGATCCTAAGGAAGGAAAAAGAGTTAAAAATTAATAAAGGTAAGTGTGAATAAAATGTAATAAAAAGACAAGACTAATTCTTTAGATACAATTAAGAATAAAAGTTTGATAGAGTAGTAATTCGGGTATCTCTTATGTATTTTTTAAGGAAATATCTATCTGTGCAGTTAAGTCCCATTAAACTTCAAAACTATAACTACAGATTAAAATCCATTTATATGTAAAAGTTAAGTTTGGAGAATGAATCTTATAAGGGGAGTGTGCCAGTTACTTTTTTTTTTAACTTTTTCTGCCTATAGTAAATCAATAGTTCTTAAACTCTAATATGTATCATAATCACTTGAAGAGCTTAATAAAACACAAATATGTAAGTTCTTTCCTTCCCTGAAAGAGTTTTTGATTTGGTAGGTCTGATGTGGGGACCTAGGGAAGCTAGTTATACCAGTTTTCCTTTTAATGAGGGGATTTCCAGGAAGCCGGACATTTAGTGCTGAAATGGGGAATGTGTCTGGCAAGCCAGGACGAGTTGGTCACCCTTGTTGGCACCTGAAAATTTGCAAAATTAATGAGTTTTCAGGTAATCATGAGGCATCTGATCCAGAGACCACAGCTTGAAAACTCCTTGGATAAACACTTAGAGATACATTTTCTAACTCTTAAAATTAACCTAGAATAAATGTTAAAATAAAAGTTAAAAAAAAAAAAAAAGGTCAAACTGTTACTAAAAATAATTCTGGCTGAGGGTGGTGGCTCACCTTTGTAATCTCAGCAATTTGGGAAGTGGAGGTGGGCAGATCACAAGGTCCAGAGATCAAGACCATCCTGACCAACATGGTGAAACCGTGTCTCTACTAAAAATACAAAAATTAGCTGTGTGTGGTGGTGCATACCTGTAGTCTCAGTTACATGGGCTGCTGAAGCAGGAGAATCTCTTGAACCTGGGAGGCGGAGGTTGCAGTGAGCCGGGATCACACCACTGCACTCTACCCTGGCGACAGAGCAAGATTCCAACTAAAAAAAAAAAAAAAAAAAAAAAAAAAAAAAATTTCTACAGTGCTGAATATATAAAATTATTACCACACTTCACAATAATGTATGTTTGTGGACTTACATCTTTTTTTGTCTTTAAACAAGTAATTTTAGTGCATCCTTAATTTGATGATTAAATGTGGTAGAATTAAGCATTTTAAATGTTAATGTTTGCTACATTGTTCAAGAAATAAGTGGAAATATATTCCTTTGTTTTTTATTTAAATTTTTCTTCCTCTGTAAACTAAAAGAACATAAAGTAAATTGGTCACAATCACAATTGGTGTTTAATTGACAAATATGAGTAAGAGAAAATTTTGTTTAATGTTTAGTCCCTCTGAGATGGCTTGAATATTTGAATTGTGTTGTATGTCTATAATGGGTAGTCACAAGTCTTATAAACACTTTAGAGGAAAGATGGATTTCAGTCTGTATTTTTAAAAATCATTTATTTGTAAATCTGGTGCTGAAAAATAAGAAAAAAAAATTAAACTGCATTCTGCTGTTCTTCTTTAGAAGCATTCCTGCGTAAATACTGCTGTAATACTGTCATGCAAAGTGTATCCTTTCTTGTTGTATCCTTTTTGGGGCAGTGGTTTTTTGTTTTTTTCTTAGAAATGTTTGTCCTTCCCCCACCTGTTGATCCAGGTTAAGCAATACTTTTTTACAGTTTATTCAAATGAAATATTTCTAAAATTATTTGTATAGATTGAACAAATCTTTTATATGTTTTTAATTTGTTGTTGAATTTTCTGTGTTGTCCTTTAGGTTATATAATTTTTTGAGGGAAAGTTAGTGAATCAGGTCAACTTACTTAGAGAATGTGTTCATTTACTTTAACTCAGAGTACAGTCTTGTTTCTTCTATTTGTATATTTCCTAAACCTAATTCAATAACATGCTTTCTGTTGTATAATGTATCTGGTTTAGGTATTTATAATGTGTTTAAAATTTAATTGGGCAAAGGACATGTTTTTCTTTTAAAAAGTATTTATATTGAAAATTAAGATGTCTGGATTACTATGTAAATTCTAAAGAGTAGCAGACCTCTCATTTGAAGTCTTAAGTGAGTCTCTTTTGACATAGATAGCAATAGAAGTATCTTTCTTCTTTCCCCTTTCTTTTTCTAAACAAGAGAAGAAAAGTGTAATAGAGGGGAGAACACATAATGCTGACTAAGGGTAGTGCATTAAGTGGAAAACAGTCTTGGCAGGTATATAGGAATAGTGGTTTCCCGACTGGTTGATGACCATAATCGCCAAGAACAGTGGTTCTCAGTCTTGGCTGCACATTACAGTGATCTGGAACTTGAATGAAATACTAATTTTAAAAGGGTACAGTGGTTCATACTTGTAATCCCAGCACTTTGCAAGTCCGAAATGGGAGAATCACTTGAGCCCAGGAGTTTGAGACCAGCCTGGGCAATGTAGGGAGACCCTGTCCCTACAAAAAGATACAAAAAGTAGCCGACTGTGGTGGCTTCCACCTCTGGTCTCAGCTACTTGGGAGGCTAAGGCAGGAGGATCACTTGAGCCCCAGAGGTTAAGGTTGCAGTAAGCCATGATCACACCACTGCATTCTAGCCTGGTGACAGAGTGAGACCCTCTCCCTCCTTAAAAAAAAAAAAAAAAAAAAAAAAAAAACTTAAGAAATATATTGATGCCTGGTTCCCTTGGTCAGAATTTTGATTTAAGGTATTGGGAGTGTAGCACAGATGTTGGAATAAACCTCTCAAACAGATTTTAATGTACAACCAAGGTTGAGAACCACCAACGAAGAGTTTTTATGCATAAAAATTCCTATACTCTACCCTAGAACCAATACATCTGCATCTCTGGGAATGGAGTATAAGAATCTGATTTGAAAAAGTTTCCTTAGTAATTCTAAGAACTGACCATTTTAGACATTGCTTTGTTAGAGTAAAATGGTTAGGTACCTAGTATCAACCTAGCCATCCAACCTTATATTAATAACTAGAAAAATAAAGGGTTGGAGCCTCCGTGTTTCTTTGTTGAAAAATCTGCTACTATTATTAGTTCTATGAAAACAATTCAAAATTTGGTTATTATCATCTTAAAAGTACAAAACCTATAGATATTGAAATTGTAATTATTTTTCTATAGGCACAGATAAATGTTATAAATCAGTTTCTTTATAAGCTGTTATTTAGATAAATTTTGTTATACTGACATGATTCACTAATTTTCTAAATATAAATGCTTCAGCCTTCAGTTATTTTTAAACTAATGAACAGTGTTATATTTATTATTTTTAATGGGCTTTTGTGATGTTTTAGGTTTCTTTTGAATCCGGTGTGTCCTTCAAGTGCTTTCCAACTTTGAGAGGAAGAAATTGACCACCTGGACTATGGAACTGTGCGTAACAGCTTTGAAAGTGTATTTAAAAATTAAATTGATATGCCTTTAAATCAGTGAATTGGAAATATATTACATGTATTTTAATGTCTTTCCTCAAATATAATAAATTGTTTTCTTTCCAATAAAATGGTGTTTGTGTTTTTTATCTGGTTTAACACATCTAGGAAAACAGTATTATAAAAATATATAAAATTTATGTATTTTATATATTTATATATGTGCGCTTTCACATTTTTTTTTTATTGCAATCTTGTTTTTTGTAATTATTTTATATTTGTCTGGCTTTGAGTTTTATTGGGCTTTTGGTTTTTCGGAAGCGGGCGATTTATCCCAGTTTAGAAAATTTGTATCCTTGCCGTAATACAGTCTTCCATTTTTGTACCCCCAAATCTTTCATCTGTCAGAACATCACTCAAAGGTGAAAATGTTTCCCATGTAAAATTATTCTGTTCCTTTAATGAAATTAGTTTCAGCTGTATATACGTAGGCAAACATTCTTTTTTTAATTTGATTTATTCTTACAGATACTTTCCTGAGTCTGTGATTACACCTGTACCGTAGAGGCACTGCCCAAAAAGACTCAGCTCTTCTGTAAAAATGCTGTTGTGAATCATAGCTTCTTACCTTTTACAGCACTGTGAGGTAAAGAGAGTAAGAACATTAGAGACAAGAATTAGAAGGATGGAGAAGTGAACCCTGGAGCATCCAAATGGTGAGATATCAGATAGTTAAAGAACTGTTAAAGAAGACTAAGGAAGAATAACTAGAAGCTAAATGAAGAAAGTATCTCAAATAGGAAGGAGTGATCAAATATATTAGCACTCTTGATGAGTTAGGAAAGATGAGTTCTTAGGATTAAGCATTAGGTAGAGCAACATTTGGGACCTTGATGTTGACAAACTTGTGGATGTCAGGAGTAACAGGAGGTATTCAAGAGAATGTTGGAGAGTAATTTAATATAGTGAGTATTGAAGACAACTCTTAAGGAGTCTTGCTTTCAAGGGGATGTGAGAAATGGGTTGTTAATGGAGGGTAATGTAATATCCAAACACTGTTTATTTTAAGATCGATGATATAGCAGGTTTGTATGCTAATGGGACTGATTCAGTAGAGAGAAAAAAACATAATGCAGGAAAGAGAGGGATGTTGCTGAAATCATAGATCTGGTATACAAATAGAAGGGTTAGTTTTAAAGGTAGGCACATAAACAGCTCATTAGTAACAGTAAGATAAAGGGCAGGTTATAGAGTTCTAGATGTTTGTTGTTCAGTAGATAGGAGTAGCATGTCAAATTTTTGTTATATTTTCTCAGTGAACTAGGAAACAAGATCATAAAGAGGGAGGAAGTCATGAAGGATTAAGGAAGGAAAAGGAGATGTAAAATGGATAGCCAGGAATGCAGGAAAGTAAACAAACTCTTAGGCAGTCTGTGGATTATTTAAGTGGTATCAGTCAACGTGGTTTCGTGGTTTTCTCCAGGTGAGTTCAGCATAGGTGCTGTCACTGAATAAGTACAGAATTCAGTTTAAAGTTGAGATTTCCCTAGATGAGTAAGACAGACAGTAATGAGATGTTGTTACATTTAAGAGAATGACTATAAAAGAGGGATATGGAAAGTAATCTGGGTTAAGGAATGAAGTGAGAAAATAAGGTTGAGACAGTGGAAAATCGTATGATCAATTGTAGATTGCAGTGTGGTTGAAGATGCATTGGAGTTCTTGAGGTAGGAACTAGAAATTTGGGAGATTTAAATAAGAATGGGGTGACTGAAATTGAAAATATTAGAGTACAGTACTTAGTGATTATAAATTTTAGGATGTGAAGATGGGAGTAGCTTAGAGGCAAGGTCATGATGGAAGGAGATGAATTCAAGAAATTGAGAACCTCGGAGACTGAAAGGTTATGCAAATGAATTTTGAAATCTCAACAAGAACTGTGCTGAGTGCTTGTAGTAGTTATTTTATCTTTACTACCCTGTGAGAAGACAGCACTTCCTTTTGTGAGTAATCAAAAGTTCTTTAATGTGTCAACTGTAAGATACTTTATTACATTTAATTATCTTTAGTATTGTATACTAAAAAATAATGACCTCAGTAGGATTATTCAGTAGATATGTGAGCTAACCCCCTGGGTCAGACACTTAATTTAAGGGTAGAACTGATGGTTTTCAAGAGGAATAGAAAGTTCTCACCCCTACTGCTTAAGCTGCTAAATATCCTGCCCTATATTTTCTGAAAACAAATGGTATATAGAGCGTCCACATAAAAGCTAATAGGAAATCTTAAAACACACACACACACACACACACACACAAAACATTGAAAAAGCATCAGGAAAGATACACCCTGTACCCAACATGTACAAGGTCTAAGCAATGAAGAAAAATGAAATCAAATAAGACTAGAACATCTATGACTAACGTGTAAAGACTTGAGGTGGTTGTATCCATTTAAAAGGTATCAATTAGAAATGAAAAAGGATGCCAGGTGGAGTGGCTCACGCCTGTAATCCCAGCACTTTGGGAGGCCCACGCAGGCAGATCAACGTCAAGTCAGGAGTTTGAGACCAGCCTGGCCAACACAGTGGGACCCTGTCTCTACTGAAGATACAAAAAAAATTTCTGGGCATAGTGGCTCATGTCTGTGGTCCCAGCTACTCGGGAGGCTGAGGCAGGAGAACATCTGAAACCGGAGGGGGAGGTTGCAGTGAGCCGAAATTGTGCCACTGTACTCCAGCCTCTGTGTGTGTGTGTGTGTGTGTGTGTGTGTGTGTGTGTATTTTACATAAGAAAATTTATTTTATTTTTTTGTAAATTATAAAATAGGACTTAATATGGTATTTATATACCAGGATCTTTGAATATCCAAAAGTTTAAGAAGATGTGAGCAATTTTATGAAACTTTTCAAAGCTTAGAAAAAGGTAACTACTTAAAAGACCATTATATGCTGTTTAAGGAAACGTTAGATGAAGTAAATCACAAAAACATGCATAGAAATGATCATATAAACTCAGAAGAAATTGAATGTCTTGCTGTCGAAGGAAAAGATAGAGGTGTAAGAGACTGAGGTTGAGTGTGGGAAGCTCTGTATATATTGTATTTTTCTTTTAAAATATATATATTTAAACTCACATTTCTTGTTTTTCAAATGTTAACTCCAATGAAAACTCTTTTATTTTTCCTGTTTATTTCTGATCTCATATACGCAGTGTACTATTGTTCACAAATATTAGTGATCCTCCCTGCAAATGAAATACTCCCATCCTGTTGAATTTGGGAATGTCCATGTGATTTGCTATGGCTGTGAAATGTGAGCAGAAATAATGTTTTACTTTGAGAACTTCCCGACTGCTAACGTGTGTCAAAATGAAGTTTTTGTGACATTACAAAAAGACTAATAAGAATGTCTTTGTTGATCCTAGTTGAACATGAGAAACTTGGTTATTGTAAGCCACTGAAAAATTTTAGTTTCTTTTATTACTGCAGAATAACCTATTCTGTCCTGATTGATACAGCCACAAAATTTCCTTAAGCTCTTTGATTTTCATATTTCCATTAGGATGTAGAAAGCCAAGAGAAGAATAAACATAGGATCAGAGAATGTTAACAGTGAAAGAGACTATTGGAATAAATTTGTTCAATGGTTTCCAGACTTTGGGTTCTAAGTAATCAGTAATATTTCAAAAAAAAAGTATTAAAAGATATTTCAATATAAAAAAAATGGCATTTAACTTTGTAAACAACAACAAAAATACCATTGCAGGGCATAATAGGTCATGCTTGTAATCCCAACAACTTGGGAGACTGAGGAGGGAGGATCACTTAAGCCCAGGAATTTGAGGCTGCAGTGAACCATGATTGAATCTCTGCATTCCAGCTTGGGTGACATAGGGAGACCTCAGCTAAAAAAAAAAAAAAAAAAAAAAAAAAAGTTGTAATTAATACATTGTTTCTCTATCTCTTTTCCCATCCTCCTTACCACTTGGTCTTTAATCTTATTAAACAAGATCTAAGGATAAGACAAGAAAAAGAATGGTTGCATCTATACTGAACATATATTAACTTTTTTTTTTTGTCATTTTCTAAACAACATAATATAACAACTTTTGACATAGCACTTACGTTGCATTAGTTATTATAAGTAATCTGAGATGATGTAAAAGTTATAGGCAAATACTACATTTTATATAAAGGACCGGAGCAGTTGTTGCTTTAAGTATCCATGAGGAGTCCTGGAACCAATTCCTCATGGATATGGAAGGATGAGGAACCACTGTAGTTAAACAAATAATCACTTTAAAAATTATACCCTTTTGCATGGTGAATACAGTCATGCACTGTATATATGATGGTGATCCAGTTAAGTTTATTATGCCACATTTTTATCGGAAGTTTCCTATGTTTAAATATATTTAGATACACCAGTACATTGTGTTACAGTTGCCTATAGTATCCAGTGCAGTAACATGCTTTACAGGTTTGTAGCCTAGGAGGAATAGGCTATGCCATGTAGGTTTATGGAAGTCCAATCTATGACATTTGCACAGTGACTTAATTCCTAAAGACTTACTCTTCAGAACATACTCCTGTCATTAAGCAATGCATGACTGTAGTTGGACAAAAAATAATAATGCAGGCATACCTTTGGCACTGTCCTAATTCTTACCAGCATCCATGATTACTTAATTTTGCAATAGAAAGACTTCAAAAAACAGTGATCTATTAGGACAATATATTTGCAATACATGACAAATGATAACAACATGAGAACTCCAAACATTCAATAAGAAAAAAAATAATAAAGCAAAACTAGATGGGAAAAGGAAGAAACAAATTTCAAAAGAAAACTCAATAGGCAAAAAAAATGTGAAATGATGTTCAGCCTTGCTAGTAATTGGGAAAAACACAAATCATTTTTAATCTATTAGGCAAAAATTAGAGCTATAATAATACTAATTTTTGGTGGGAGTGTTGCAAAAGGTACTATAATATTTGCTGCTAGAGAGTAAAAGTTGATATCTTTGTAAGGGCAATTTTGCATAATATGAAAATATAAAAATATGCTTCAAATTCCACATACATTTAGCCTACAGAATTACCCATGTGTAAACATGTATACAGATGTTCATTATAACACTTCTTATAACAGCAAAATACTTGGAAATAAATTTTCATATTAACAAGAGCATGCTATATGATCTTAGTCCAATTAGAATATTCTGTTTTATTTCAATCCTTTAAAAGACTCAACTTCTGACTGTATAGAGACAATTAAAAAAAAAAATGTGTTCTCCATATGTGCATTTGGTCAGGTTAATTAAAACTTGTTCAAATCTGCTTGTTCTTAATATGGTTATTATGTTAAAACTCTCATAATGGTGGATTTACCGATTATTGTACTGTCAATTTTTTTGTTTTAGCAATTTTAAACATGTTATAAGGCGAGTAAACACATATATTTGTTGAATTTCTAGTCAGAGAGTCAAACATTTTTAATTATGAATGTACAACCATTTTATTTTGGCATTAATTTTGCCTTAGATCTTTGTGCAATACTAATAAAGCTACACTCTCTTTCCTTTGGTTAGAATTTACATTGATTATTTGGTTCTAGCTTTACCTTTTTTGTATCTCTGTTTTTAAAAAAATCTGTCTGAAAATGGATTTAGCAGAAACAATCAATTTACATTGGATATAATTATTGTTATATTTGCTGTATTCACTTTATTCACTCATTTTTTGTATTCTCCCCTTCTTTTAAATTATTTTTATTAATCTTTGTTTTGTTTTTGTTTTTGTTTTTTTTACCCTATACCACAAGAATTAGGCAGGCACACTTTCTGTTTTGTTAATGATTAGCACTGATTATACCCATGCATATTCTCAAAGTCCAAAGTTAATGCCTATGTCCATTGCCAAAGACAATAATGTGACCTTAGAATACTTAAAACACTGTTCTATTCCAGTTTGCAGTCGTTCTTATTTTTGAAATTACTCCTGTATTTTTAATGTTCCAAGACATTATTTTTGAAGAATTTTTACTAGTGTTAATCTTTTAAAAATTAATCAGATTAAGCAGAACTCAGATTTTAAAATATTTTCACATAATATTTTATTTGATTTTTCTAACAATCCAGTGAAAGGGAATATAATACTGATTAGTAGGTAAGAGCTCACTCTGGAGTTAAGCTTCTTGGCTTTGAAATTCAGTCCCAACATGTACTACAATTTGACCATAATAAATTTTTAGTGTTTCTGTTTTCTCATTTAAAAAATGGGGATAATCATATTTCTATCATGTAGGGTATGCATGTGTGAGAAGTAAATGTGATAATGTATGGAAATGGCACATAGTAGCTATATGTTAGTGGTTATTTATATATATATATAAACAATATCCTCATTTTCTAATTGAGGACCTAGTATGAAATCCATAGACTTTAATTTTTTTCTAAGGTTCATATAGAAAAAAAAAAATGTTCATGGTGAAGCATCTAGTAGATGGTGACGCATGGAGTTAAATTTTGTTTGTTTGTTTGTTTGTTTGTTTTGAGATAGTCTCGCTCTTGTTGCACAGGCTGGAGTGCCGTGGCGCGATCTCGGCTCACTGCAACCTCCACCTCCTGGGTTCAAGCAATTCTCCTGCCTTTGCCTCCTGAGTAGTTGGGATTACAGGTGCCAGCTACTATGCCCAGCTAATTTTTGTACTTTTAGTAGAGACAGGTTTCACTATGTTGGCCAGGCTGATCTCGAAGAGTTAAATTTTCGATTTCGTGACTGTGCTTACATTCTAGTCTCATTTAACTAATTTAACCCAGTCCTATGTCAGTCTGTTCTTTAAGGTTATTTTATTAATTAGGTTATTTTATTTTATATATTTTTTTATTTTAAGATTATTTTATTAAAGTTATTCCATATATGTTTATTCTCTATATATTTCCTATATATTGGTATAAATATAAATGGTTCAGGGAAAAAAATTAGAGATTGGGAGAGGGTATTGTAGAAAAAGGAAGGAAGACAAAAAGAAAGCAGATGAGATATAGTGTAGTAAGAAGAGGTGGCAGGGCAGCAAATTGAGCAGAGGAGAGAAGACAGTAGTTTGCTTAGGAAACAAGTGCAGTGACCAACCTGTTGTAATACTGGAGTTCAGAGAAGACTGCTTGTACAAATCTGATTTGGAGAATTGGAATAGTATGGTAGGGCCACATATTGAAAGTAAGAGGTTATAGAAAATCTATAAAATTCTAAATTCAGCATTTTTTTTTTTTTTCCAACTGAAGACAAAGCAAAACCAGAACTGTGAGATTTTGTTATTTTATGATTGTAAAACACTGAACTGTGCGTTTGGGAGATTGCTGATTGAAAGAAGTTAAAGTGGTAAGTTATTTTAATGTTTTTTTGAGTATCATGTAAGTCATCTGCCAACTTTTTGTCTTGAAATAAGTGGTTTCTGTCACATGATTTGATATAGAGTTTCACAATCTATTTTCAGTTTGTTGACAAATCATGTTTCAGTGCTGTGCTGTACAAAATGTACTATTTATATTGAAAATGTGTCTTAACCTTGGCTGAAAAGGTGTCTCTAATTTCAGAGATCTGGTAGGCAAACTTGATTATCTGTGCTTTCTTTCCTCTAACCTTCACATGCAACTTATCCTGAGTTCAGGTTTATTTTCTTTGTTATTTTATTTTCAGAAGAAAAATAGAAAACTGTTGGTGGAACGGCTGGTGGTTGAAGGTTTACTATTTTGAGAAAATTGTACATAATTTATTGCAAAACTCAGAGGAATTCAGACTTATTTTTTAGTAAGAGAAACAACTAACTTGATCAAGTTCATAAATGTGACATTAAAGTATTTCAGTTGTAATTTTTAATCACATTAAATTACTTCCAAAGATATTTATAAGGCATCTAGGCCAAGAACCATGAATGCCATTAATAGATAATTTGTCTTTTTTTTGGTCAATGTTAATTCATTTGCATGTTAAAAACTATAGTATCTGGTACAAATGTGAGGCTACTTTGGCTAGGGGGAAAGAACTTGTAAATAACTGATACTTAATAGAAAGGAAGCTCTAGAAAGACAAGTTATTTGGAAGTTGCTACTTTCTGCTTAACATTTTAATAGAAGTCTTTCATTTTATTTAAGTCATGGCTTTGGTGTGATTTAGGTAAACTTTAAGCTAAATGATTAAATTTATGGTACTTGATGTGTTAAGAGGAATACTGCATTTACGCTAGAACCATTTCCCTATAATGCCATGTATATTATGGATGTCAAATAAATACCTCATATATGATATTGATTGAAAAAATACTTTTGAGACCCTCAGAAACTGGCTAATCTTGAGTTAATTCTTGACACTGGATATATTTTATTTTATTTTTTTAAATGAGCACAGATGAGAAGAGAGGATATGTTTTGACACTCCAAATACAAATAATCTTTAGTGACTATTGCTTTGTTGTCAGGATATTATCAAATGTCCTATTTCATATTCTCAGGGAATTCCCAAAATATGTCATTTGGCACATTATAGTAACCATTAGAGCTTTAGAGTAAAGGGAAGTTTTCTCTTTGTAGAGCATTCTAGGAAGTACAAAATATGGGCAATAATGCTGTATATTACTAATAACTGGATAGCTTCTCTAAGGATAACTCTTTTAGAATAACTATTCTAGAAAGTAGATATAACAACTATTTTAAATCCTTATTTTTTGTGGTGGTGTTTTTGATGCCAAAGATGCCAAGAATTGTTTGTGCAGATTTTTATTTCAGAAGGCATAAATATACTTTAACTGTTGTATTGCTTCTCCTATGGGGTATATAGCACTTCAGATTGCTTGTTTGAGGTTAAAATTAAGATTGAATGAGAAAATATATGACAATGCCTGATCTTTGTAGAAGCTTATTATATGTGTGTTTAACTCTACCTTTCATGTAGTGCTAATTCCCTAAATTATGTCTGCAAAATATCCCTTATTTTACCAACATTCCAAATGCATTGTGAAAAATGCTGACTTGTTATTACAATAACAGAGTTCATTAATGTGGCATAGATGAAAAGTATATTTCAAAACTAACACGGATATGCCAGAAATCCTAAGTCAATAAGCTATTGCTTATTGAATAGTGAGGGAATAGTGTGAGGGAAGGAAGGAAAAAATTGCAGGAATAAAATATTGCTGATTCCTTTTCATCTATGCCCATTCTTTTAGTAGAAATGAAAATAATTCTGAGAAGTAGAAAACATTAGAAGTTCAGAAAAGTAGAATGGGAAGACAGAAGGGCCACGTGTTAGTAGAGTGAAGGCAGGAAGACAGTATGAGTTGATAGGATTTTTAATAGGACCAGGTAAAAATACCAATACAAAAATAACATTATCAACCATATTGAGCTTTTGCCGTATCCATACAATGGGATAACAGCTTTATTTGCATTATTTGTTTAATCACAATAACTCTATGAGGTAAATATTACTTTTTCTAGTTCATAGATGTATTTAGAGAGGTTGTTTTCCAGCATCACAGAGGTTATAAATGGAAAAGACAGGATTTATAGTTTGTCTTAACTCCTAACAATTACGTTTTCACATTTGGAACCTTGAGTCAAGCATAAAGTTCAAATGGTGCCCCTCTTCTCTGTCAACTCTTTACATCATCAGCCCTGTATCACTATCTAGTCAGTTTTCTATTTAGATTCTGATACTTACCCATATCCAGTTAGTATCTTGTACTCCCTGCAAATTTTCCTTCCCTATTTGTTTCTTTTAAAAATCATCTCAGGTAATAAAACTCCCTTTGCTACTTTGAAGGCACCTATTTATTCTCTCCTTCCTACTCCCTATAACCCATCATTTGTAAAGATGGTGGCTTCACCCAACATCTTTTTTGGTATTTTGTCAGCCCTCAAGGATACAACTCTCCAGGCCTGATAATTCAGCCAGTGTGCACTGCCCTCTATATAGTAGTTGATTAGGGATAGCATCTCTTCTGTTCAGTGTCTGTGCTAAATCAGTTAAGTATTTAGTGTTCCATTTCTCAGACGGTCATTGCTTGTTGAAAACTCCCAATTCTCTGCTTCTTTCTTCATATCTTTTTTGTTTTATTGTTTTTATATGCCCATTTGTTTTAAAAGTGATACCTCTACCTCAGTATGTCCCCATATTAGTTAATCGGTTTCTCTAAACCAAATCTGGATAGTGTCTTTAGATTGCACTATCAGTCATAAAGACATGGCCTTTCTAACATTCACGCAAACTTTAAATCACAGAGTCCCCATTTCACTCTTTATATTCGCTATTCTCTTATATCTGATTAACCACCATTTTCTGTGCAGTATCCACCAAGTCTGTTGAATCTCCTCTGTCTGTTTTACATAAACATTTCCCCCCCTATTCCAGGGGTATATATTCCAAGACCCCCAGAAGATGCCTGAAACCACAGATAGTACCAAGCCCTGTACAGTCATCTCTCCAGTATCTGTGGGGTATTGGTTCCAGGACCTCCCATGGATACCAAAATCTACAGATGCTCAGGTGCCTTATATAAAATAGCATAGTATTTGCATGTAACCTATGCACATCCTCCTGTATGCTTTAAATCATTTTTATGTTGCTAGAGATGTAATATCTACTGTAATATAAATGCTATGCAGACAGTTACATTTTTTAGGGAATGATGACAGGAAAATCTATATGTTCAGTACAGATACAACTATCCTTCTTTAAAAATATGTTCTTCCGCAGTTGAATCTGGTGAATCTGGCGACGTGGAACCCATGGATATGGAGGGCTGACTATATACACCATGTTTTTTCCTGGCGTATCACTCAACTATTAGCTGGTGAGTCAAACTCAGATTGTTGGAATGACTAGGGACAACTAGACTTCAAGTGATCTTTCATCCCAGTTATGCTCATAGCACAATGTATGATCTCAGAGTTTCAAGAGATCAAACTCCCTTCTGCAAACCCCAGTCAAACTTTGCTTGTGTCTTGTTTGCTGATATCTCATTGGATAAAATAAATATCAAGCTAATTCCATAGTCTATTTAGAAAGAGACTCCATATAGGTATGGATACTGGGAAGTGTCATTCATTGGATGCCCTTTAATATAACAATCTATCACACTTCCCTAATTTTCATTCTTACTGCTATAATCCAAGTTCAGATTTCCATCACTGCTCTGCTTACTAGTGTTCCTATCTCTTTGTTCTCTGGCCCATCTGATATAATTAAAAGTTTTTATTATTACTTTCCTGTTTAAAACAACCAAAAAACCTTCTGAGGAAAGTATTTTTTTCTTCTCCCTGATTTTGAGTGTCCCCAATATACCTTTCCAAATTTAACTGCCGTGGCTCCCTCACACTTGACTTAAGTTTCTAAAACACTGTATTGACTTATTGCTGTTCTCTTTGCTCTTCTACATATTTTTCTTACTTAAAAGTAATTTTACCTATCTCTTTTCATTGATGTCAAACCTGTTCTTCAAGTCAATTTTGTCTCCCCTTATTCCCATCTGTCAGAAAGAACTTTTCCTATCAATTAAATCCCAAAGCACTTTACTCGTAACCCTCTTAAAATTATGTTCATATCTTTCACTTTATTGTTTGTTTTTGTGTATGGACATATCCCTTCTCTAACTGAACGTAACTTCTTGAACAGCTCTGTCTAATAGAAATAGAATGTAAATCAGCTCTGTCTAATAGAAATAGAATATAAATCATGTAATTCAACATTTTTTACCAACTGCATTAAAAGAAACAAAAAGACACTAGGGAAATTAATGTTAATGATAAGTTCTATTTAGCCTAATGTATCACAATATGTTATTTCAACATGTAAACATCATAAAAATATATTTTTTTTTACATTTTATTTTCACACTATCCAGAGTGTGTTTTACACTTATTACTCATCTCTGTTCAAACTACATATATTTCAACTGATTAGTGGCCAATTGTTTCTAGTGGCTACCACGTTAGACATCACAACTCTAGAATTCTAGGAGAAACATTAGTGTAATACAGAGAATGTTGACTTGCAATAAGACTTATTATCAAATCCTGTCTTTGTCACTTACCACATGAGCCTGGACAATTTACTCAATCTCTTTGGGCCTTAGTTCCATCATGTGTTCCATCACTTTTGCTAGGATTAGAGTCGAGCATATTGAACAATTTCTAATATAGAGTTCATTGATTTTTAAAAAATCAATGAGGACATAACCCATGCTATGCCAATGTTTTGCACAATACCTGGAACCTAGAGTTTTCATGTTATAGCCATTTATTGAGCACATAAGACAATGTCAATCATTTTACTAGGATTTGGAAATACTAGATATGAAGTCTGCCTTCAAGAAGCTTGGTCTAGAATGACAAGTAAATTGTTAATTATTTATAATATAGTTATAATAGAAGTCAAATATAGCTTAATGTCATATAAATTAAAAAGCTTTCATACAGCAGAGAAGCTAACTGTGCTTGGTAATATAAAGGTAAGCTTCATAAAGTTGTGGTTTCAACTTAATGTGGAAGGAAAATTAGTTGCTTCCACACTAAGTTGGATGTGGAAGGGGATGATATGGGAAAGAAAACCACTCGGGAAGTCATGGAGGTATGACATTGCATATAAAATATGAGGAACTTCTAGTTTTGCAATGAATAGAGTTCACAGGATTGGCTAGGGGAAGGACAAAAGGGCAGCATCAGGATCGAGACAGGAATAGTTAAGATCCACAGCTCTCTTGATACTCTTCACCAAAGCTGGTACTTCCTCATTTTTTCTCATGTTAAAAAATGGTATCACCCCCAAATACCTATATATTTAATATTTTTTCCTCATCTTTCAGCTCTAATCTATTCATAAATCTACTGCCTGTTTACCTCTGAAATAGACCTTGTCTATGCCCTAGTGCAAGCCACTCACCTCTTTCTTGGGCCACTGTAAAAGTCTTCTAACATCTACCTCTTTCCACTCTTATCCTCCTATAATCTGATTTCTTCCCAGAAGCAAGGGTGATTTTCTTTTTAAAGTCTGTTAGTCTTTCAGTTCCCCATGTTACAGCCTTAACAGCTCTCTCTTTCTTCATGTTCTACAAGGTTCTACATGATCTGGCCTACCTCTTTGATCTCATCTCATTTTATCCCACCCATTATCACATGTGCTGTAGCCACACTGATTTCTTTTTAATGTGTCTCATGTATTAGCTTTTTCCTTTCTTGGGACATTACTCTTGCTCTTTCCTCTATCTATTGCTCTTTCTCTGATCTCTAAATGACTGGACACTTCTAATCATTTAAATCACATCATAAAGTCACTCTTTTAAGGGGTGTCTTCCCTTACCATCCAGTCTAAAATACGCTGACGGAAAAGTCACTCTCTATTTTATGGTTTTATATTAATTCTTATTGCTATCTGAAATTATTTTTATCATCACTATTAGTACTGTTGCTATTACTGTTATTTACTAATATATTTTCTTTCCACTAGAATGTAAGCTCTCTGAGAACAGAAACCTGTCTTATTTATCATTGTCTCCTGAACATCACCTACAGTGCTTAGCAAAAAACAGACACACACTTAACACTTGTTGAATGGATGGATGAAGTTTTTCCTACATGTACTATTACTCCCTTTCATAGCATTTCACTTACATTAAGAAGGAAAAGGTATGCAAATTTATTTATTTAGCGTTTCATCAGGTACAATAAATATTTGCCTACAGGGAGAAAACGACCACCACCACAAATCCTATTATATGCACTATATTAAGCACATGACTTGCTCGAGGGGAAAAAAGTTAGTTTCTCCAATTCATAGGCTTTCAGATTTTGAATATTTTCTTAAATCTTAATGCAGAAATTTAAATAACCAAAAGTTTGAATTAAGGATGGGAAACAGGGCTGATTTAAAAAATGGAAATATCACATAATATTTCTGTTTGAAATGGAAGCATGACAAAAATTTGAAAATATACAGTTAAAGCAATATTTTGAGAATTCAGTTGGTTTCAATTGTTATTTTCCATTAGTGACGGATACCAGAAATAAAATACAGTCCTTATTTATTTAATTAGGATTTATATATATACACATATATAAAGAATTTATATATGTGGACAGTATATATATATGTACAGTGTTGTATATATGTACTGTTATATATATACAGTATATATATACTGTGATATATATATATGTATATATATGTTTGTTCTCATGCTGCTATAAAGAAATGTCCAAGACTGAGTAATATATAAAGGAAAAAGATTCGATTGACTCACAGTTCCACATGGCTGGGGAAGCCTCAGGAAACGTACAATCATGATGGAAGGGGAAGCAAACGCAAACACATCCTTCTTCACTTGATGGCAGGAAGGAGAAATTCTGAGCAAAAGGGGTAAAAGCCCCTTATGCAACCATCAGGTCTTGGGAGAACTCACTCACTATCATGAAAACAGCAGTATGGGATAACCGCACCCATGATTCAATTTCAATGACTTCCCACCAGCTCCCTCTCACAACACATGGGGATTATGGGAACCACATTCAAGATGAGATTTGGGTGGGGACACAGCCAAACCATACATATATATATACATATATACACACACACACACACGCCCACATACACAAGGACTGTATAGATATGTGTGTGTATGTATATAAAAATATAGTCCTTATGTGTGTAAATATTTACTGTACTTATTTATGTGTTGTATGTGTGTGTGTGCGTGTGTGTGTACACACTGCCAGAGGTTTGTAAAGGTTAAGATTGTATCAGTAAGAAAAAGCAGGGTCTCAGTCACCTCTGTCAGCCCACGCACCATGTTGTCCCGCCACTCTGCTGTCCCACTCCTCCACCAGTTGCAATGGAAGAAGAGATCGCCGTGCTGGTGATTGACAATGGCTCTGGCATGTGCAAAGCTGGTTTTGCTGGGGACGACACATCCCAGCCATGTTTCCCTCCATCGTCGGTGCCCCCAGCACCAGGGTGTGATGGTGGGCATGGGCCAGAAGGACTCCTATGTGGGCGACATGGCCATGAGCAAGCGCAGCATCTTGACCTTGAAGTAACCCATTGAACATGGCATCGGGACGACATGGAGAAGATCTGGCATCACACCTTCTACAAGGAGCTGCACGTGACCCTGGAGGAGCACCCAGTGCTGCTGACCAGGGCCCCCCTGAATCCCAAGGCCAACAGAGAGAAGATTATACAGATCATGTTTGAGACCTTCAACACCCCAGCCATTTACGTGGCCATCCAGGCTATGCTGCCCTTCTACGCCTCTATTTGCACCACTGGCATTGTCATGGGCTCTGCAGATGGGGTCACCCACACGGTGCCCATTTATAAGGGCTACGCCCTCCCCCACACCATCCTGCATCTGGACCTGGCTGACCAGGACCTGACCAACTACCTCATGAAGATCCTCACCAGGGGCGACTATAGCTTCACCACCACTGCTGAGCGGGAGATCAGGCACTACATCAAGGAGAAGCTGTGCTATGTCGTACTGGACTTTGAGCAGGAGATGGCCACTGCCGCATCCTCCTCCTCCTCTCAGTAGAAGAGATATGAGCTGCCTGATGGCCAGGTCATCACCATCGGCAACGAGGTTCCGGTGTCCCGAGGTGCTGTTCCAGCCTTCCTTCCTGGGCATGGAATCCTGCGGCATCCACCCAGTCCACCTTCAACTCCATCATGAAGTGTGACGTGGACATCTGCAAAGACGTGTAGGCCAGCACGGTGCTGT